GTAAATTTTGGGGATGCAATTGCTTTTCCTAAACCACACGACAATTTTTTTATAGAGGACTATAAAGCCAGAAATGGGATACATCTGACAAGACCGTGGTTTGCGCGAAGAGTTCTTACAGTAGCCACCGGGGAACGTAAATTTGCGTAATAATCTTGGACAATTTCCAAGCGTTGTACTAAAGTAACAATCCAAAATGAATGGATAGACGCTGTATATATAGTAATTTTAGTTATTACCAACATTACAAACATATATGTATATAGTAATTCTTAGTGCAATTGCTACCTAAGCGTTATCGAATATAAGAGCATCCATTGAATTGGACAAAATACGAAGTCTCATACTATACGTAATGTCCATTCTCATGAATAAATTCAATAACATATTGATTTTCTACGGATTAAACGTTGGGACGGATATAATCTGGATAGTATGAGTATCTGTTTAAAAGTTTTTTGTACAAATATCCAGTTATCCAGATTTACGAGTATCGCAAGTTACTACCTATAAACTTGATAGCGACGTCATGCTATATATTAGCGAAGTTCAGTGTTTTGCCATATACAGAATTACTCTCTGAAGATATTCTTCTATATTGGTCTACACGCCTTTTCTACCCAGGAATGCAACATTAATTACATATTCATCCGAATCCATTTGCACTCGGTCTAGTACACAGCTAATGCTGGACGTGTTTCGGTACTCATTCTTCATAAAAAGTTTATTTCAAAAAGAGTTTTAGAATTGCGTATGTTAGAGATTTGTAATTCTAACGGTATATTCATATGTCATAGATGTAGCAGTTGCATATGCACATAGCACGTTAGTATATATATTCTTATATAGATAAACAAATTCGATTTCACTCATAGCAAATAAGTAATTTCATTGTTTTCCTTTCATACTGTAGTGATAAAACTTCAGCTGATGAATTTCTACACGAATGCGGCTATATTCTGCAGGAAAGTGATAACATGTACATTTTAGATACAAATCATTATCGTTGGGACAATGTTTGTCCACTGTTTGTATCTTGTGTGCCACAAGATAAGGGTGCGTTCACCAAATCAAAACTGGTCACGCAACATTATTTTATCATTCAGGTAAGCGGTAAGCGTTGAGCCTTGAGCCATAAGTCAAGATATGTAACTGCAAGTAAGTTATTATACAATAGCCTACAGCCTACAGCCAAAAGCAAAAAATTATTTATTATATTATATTAGATATTATAAATTTTTTTAAATTAGCAAAGTATTCTCATCATCACACATTTTCCCGAAATAAATTGTTCGTTATTTTTCAGCAACTTGACGGACATAAACAGTGTACAAGTAACAAGTAAAACGAGGTTTCAACCCAGTCGGGGCGTTATTATTCAGTTAGGATATTTATTAAATACTTTAATGTATTATAATGGAATATATTTCTAGAAACATCATCACATCAATCAATCAATCAACAGCTGAGAACTGATATCTTTTATTAAAAACACTGTTTATTAAAGATAGTTTATTTACATAATATTACCAAATATTAATGTTGTTGATGTGATTCTTGCCTACATCTATGTTCGAAATACAATATATTCTAAATTGTATTTAATTATGTCTATCTTCAGGCGGTATCATATTAAAATACCATTTAATATCTAAATAATGCTTAGAATAGAAAAATGAGTATGAAACATTGTTATAAAGAATGAGGCAACGAAAAACTTAAATTTGGTATAGTATGGGTGATTTCTTTTACACCTATTAATTCTATTGAATTATGACGTTTCTAAATTGTTAAACTGTTGGTATCCAATCTGATAACAGATCCCTATTAGGAAGATGGCTAGGAGCAGGCTTTATGTACTTTCCTGAATGCACATCTTAAAATTGTATTTAAAAGGAATTTTTTTGAAGGGAAAATTTGTCAAATTTCTCCATATTTGGCTTTGACCTGATTTCCTGTGGTTCTTACACCACCTCACCTCATTCCACTAAGTTAACCATATGTCCATTGTAAAGTTAATCTCTTAGTTAATAATCAATATTCTCTTACTCTATGGAAGATATATCGTGATTATAAAGACAAATTATATTATTCCTCTACACTACTTTAATAATTTTACTATTTTTTTTTTAGGACAAGGCATTCTCATATGGACCAGCCGTTATGTCTAGGCTCCTCGACTACTTCCAATTAAGCGGAGACATACTACAAACGCACATTTCCTCGCCACGATCCACAGCATATTTAGCCTCACTGTTCCATTCCGTAAATCGAGTCAACAATTTTTATGTTTACGGTGCAGGACCAAATCTCAAAGAATATCGAAAGTTCATGGAAATACTTGGCGTTAATAATATACGTATTTATGCAGAGCCCTTTACGTCATTCCCATTAGAATCGAAACGTTTCGGCTATGTGGTCGGTATTTTCGCCAACCCGCCGAACTCTTTTAGCGCAATTTCCGATCCAATCGATTTGATATGCTCACGTGGCGGTGACTTGAGTATGTTAGAAGTGCTCACTGAATCGGAGATAAGTGAGGAGGGCAAACGTAGGGTCTCACTAATACTGGAAGAACAACTACTTACATTGCAATTGGCCATGTCGAGACCACAAATACAATTTTTACTCTACCAAACTCATTCGATTGTTTCATCGGAGAATCAGGATATGGTCGATTATGCTGTGAAACACGTAAACGAAACATCGTTAAGGAAACATCAAAGTTTCTTCAGAGAACGTAAACGTCTGGAAGCAATAGCCGAAGCAGAGGCTGCTAATATACCAGCTGCAGCAATGGGTTCGCCGAGGAAACGTGCCCCAAACGCGCAAGCTGACGAGAAAGTTAAAGCACAGTCTGCCACAGAAGCTGCTGCTGCAAAATCGGATGGGACTGCTGAAGTGAGTGGAGTAGCAGATGAAAGTGAAGAGAACGTAGTTCTCCCGGACGCCGATGAATTTATGTGCGAAAATATACCTGATATTTGTATTAATCAGGATAGCTGTATAAAACAACATTCGATTGGTTGTTATCTTTCATTAATTAAAAGAACTAAAATCACACAATTGAATGCCAAGTATCTAATAAAGATGGCAGAGGCGAGAGGTCTCTTCGATACAGCAGACAAAAGCGCCGTGCCGAAAGTGAAGAGCATTAAAACGCAGGAAACAAATGTCGAACCGACTATGGAAAGCGATTACTTCAGCAGTCACAGAGTAGTGAAGCACATTAATGTGGATCAGTTGGTAAGGAAAATAAGCCTAATTAACAAACATATGAAAAATGAGACCTACAGAGTTCGGAATAAATTGGCAATGTGTCCGACAAATTTACGCTTTTTGTTTGAACTTATTTCCTTGCCGGTGGAGAACAGTGGGCAGAAGTTACAATCATTGATAGTAAGAAGGTCCAATTCGCATTTTTACAAGCAAGTCAAGGAAAACATATAGAAATGTTATACTCTCTATTGAAGATATATCGCAACATCTACAAATTGGTATTTCAGTTTCGAATTTTGGGATTGTGAGTATACAGAACCGACAAGTTGATTAGTTTCGTCCTAGATATTCAAATGGCAATTATTGCTATCCGTTACGACTATACAAAGTCCCACTGCGTATATCAATTGTAGACAAATTCTTCGCCAACAGTTCCGTCCAAAAGGTTTTAAGATCGCTGGCAAGGCACTTTTTCCTTTGCGCCATATAAAAGAACAATCTTAGTGTAGCCGCCGTAGTAAAGTGGGGTGAATGTGTGACTATCCAACAGAATATTTTGGAACTCGGCCAAAGCAATTCTAAAACTAATCAAAAACTAAATATTTTCTATTGATTATTGCTCCTCTTCAAAAACTTTTAAACCTCTGGGTTGATTTTTGTGTAATCAAACTTTTCATCTAAGTTTAGAAACCTTCAAACATATAGCAGAGATCTTTTTATGTTTAGGATATACCTGAAAAGTTCTTCTGCGTTACAATAATTGTTTTGAATCAATAAAAATATTTGATTATTTCATTCTACTTTCATATGTGTTTAGATATCGCGCTTGATGACAAATACAAACGCCAGTTTAAATCGCATTGGCATAACTAAAGCGTCCAACCTAAGTCATCCAGTAAAATTTAAATTTAAGAGAAAGGAGTGCAAACGTTATAAGGCTACATTGCTAAAGGCATACGACAAATTTTCGGTATTGTTAATTTATTAATTACAACTTGTATATTTTAGGTCTACCAAATCTCAAAACAGCAATCGGGTATATATCGGCGATGTTCAGTTGAAAGTTTGGAAGAAATTTGTTCAATAGCAATATGTTGCTTACAGCGCAAAGGCTTAAAAAAATATCCATATCCCTTGCATATACTAAATTTAATAATATGAAATAAACAAATCTTTAAGTAATTGCCAAGTTTTAATAATCTAACCCGCGTCGACCGGGTAAAAATGACAAGAATACAACTAAATTTCAATTTGCAAGGCTGATGAGCTGACTAGGTTAGGTAGTTCAGTTTCACTAGCTGCAGAATTGGAACGAGTAGGAACTCCGCTGCCTTCTAGCGGTTCACTACTGGATGGTTGGGCCTCAAATGACTTCGACAAGCGCTGGCAACTGTGTAGCAGCAATGTCCTTGTGAGCGCTTCGCCCTCATCAAAGTTCACCTTTCAATAGTTGTAGTAATTCTAACTCTCTTCACTCTCCGATCGGGATCAGGGTTGCGAAGTTTTTAATTCAAAAATTTTGGATTGAAAATTGGAATAAAAATTTTCATCCAAGACATTTAGGAGAAACAACTTTTAATTTAATATTGTAATAAAAAATTTTATTTTATTAATCCTAAACATCTTGGATAAAAAATTGAGAAAATATTATCTAACTTAAAAATTGAAGTTACAAATAAATTTATTATTTTTCAAATTAAAAAATGATATTAAAGGGAATGAAACGAAATATAAATAAGACAAGAAGAGCTAAACTATCTACATATTTAATTAAAAACAAGTTTTCTTTTTCAAAAATTAACCAAAATTCTGAAAAAAAGTATTTTATTTATTTTTTTTTATAATGTTGGTATTAAATTTTTTTTCTATTCGGTATAAGGGATTAAAAATTAAATAATAATAATAAATTTTTAATACATTATTTGCAACCCTGATGGATGAAAATATAATCATCTACACACTTTCTTATTGAATATCCCACCTTTATCAGTTCAAGGCTTAAATATTTCGATCCTCATACTATTGGCCACCGAAATGAAATATCGAAATAGAAATAAAGCCACCTTCGTCCTATAAAAATCCGAGACTATTTAGGGTCTACGTATACATCTGAACGACAATATGCAGAATGTGTTATACCTCTAGAATAATAACAACACCATCCATTTTAACACCAAAAGCCTTATTGACCAGCAAGCGAACAACCCTTGCATTTCTAAAGTGAAACGAAATATAATATAATATTTTGTAAACCTGACAAGAAAATCACTTCATTGCGATTTGTATTATTATAACTTAAATAAATAATGTATACAAAATTATTTTGATAAACAAAATATTATAAATTTTATACTATATGCCCCTTTTTCTTCTAAAACATTTTATAAAGAATATGAGAACAATACTTGTCAACAGCATAATGAATAGCAGAGTTAGTTTTATTGTTCTCTCGTCATCTTCGTCCGAAGGTAAAGCATTATTTTTAGCTTCGACGATTGGATTTAGTAACTCGGCGACTTTGTGATCTACGAAAAAAAAGTATAATTATTGAAAAAAAACAGTAAAAGAATTAGTTAATATACTTTATGCATATACACGTATGTAAATCATATAAATATTATATTATTTCCACTCCATGAATTATATTGATTATCGTAATACTTAAAAAATGACATTACCTTTACTAGCTTTTAGTAAATTCAAGTCGATGTGCTTTAAACGTTTCGTAGTAAGTTTTATATCCGCTCCATTGACACCCTGCGGCTGCAGCCAGTTGAGAGTTTCACAAGCCTCAGTCTCTTTTTTGTGGAATTTGTTATTCGAATCGATTACTTTAGAATGTAAATGTAAATTACTACTGTACAAACGTAGCGGTAGTAGGTCTTCCTCATTATTATAAAACTCGGCAATGCGATTTAGTTTTTGTAGCAGCTCCGATTTATATGCAGTCATAGTATATTCCAGTATGGCATCTAGCAGCCAGAAGCATGCTTTTTCGAGATGTATGGAGTCCAAACAATTTGAATCGCTAAAAACTGCGATGCGTCCGCTCGTACTGCTGCTTATTATGGATAAAGTTTCGAGCATTTCTTTTAAGTTTTTAGAATTATTTTCCGTCAGCTTATTAAGTGAGTTCGCATTACTGTGTCTATTATGTTTATCAACATTTAGTTCAAGTAATATACGTTTATTTAATATGGGATTTCTTTCAGCAGAAATTTCTGTCTCGATGTTGGGCTGTTCGACATTATTCTCTTCGTAGCTAGTCGGCGTTTGTGCATTTACCGTTAAATATTGTTTGCGCAATTCGCTCTGAGTTTGAAAGAGACCAAGTATGGGCTTGAATATTTTTTTATTGTCAGCCGTATTGGGATTTTCCAAAATCTTAAAGGAGGATATATTTACTTAATTATTATATGATATATAAAGTCAGTTTACGACATTTACCTCAAACCCCTGATCGTGGAGTTCTGCACCGACAACAATATCATCATTTCCGCGTGGAATTTTCGCTAATGTTGTGCCGCTGGCTATATACATGGAGTGATCGCCCATTGCGAAAAATCCCTCTGCGATAAAGTCACTAAATGCAATGCCATACGGTTTTAATAGCTCATTGAGTGCTGGTATATTGGAACCACCGGTGTCCGGTATCCACCATTGTCGCGTATTCTCATCGAAAAATTTGATTTTCTTCATGACTGTTGTATTATACCAATCCGCAAAGACGACAACACTAAGACCTTCATTGTAAACATCATTTTCGATTTTTTTGATTTCCGCATCGAAAAATTCCTCTTCCGAATCGACGATAAGCAGCGTACCATACTCGCTAGCATTGAAGCAAGTATACGGCATGCGTAAGATATCTATATAGTAGCCAGCATTACGCAGATGTGTGTATAAATCTCTAAAATTTGTATGTAGATGATCGGCGCGCCAATCTAAAGGATCCGATTTGATTTTGAGATTGTCACGTGGTATATAGCCTGGCGGATATTTCAAACTATGATACTGGTCCCAGAGTATGCGTTTGTTTCTTGGTGGTTTCGGTATGACAGTCACTTTAAGTGGAAAATTGATTTTGGTTACAATTATACCTTCTTGTTGCTCTTGTAAGCACTCGATTTCTAGACTGATATAGCCTTCAGCGACTCCTTTAAAATTATCACCTTTTTCGTTTACAACTAAAAACCAAAATCAATAAATTATTATTAATTTATTAAATTTGACTAAGTAATTGTTTTTATCTATAAATATATTTTTCTGTTTAATACCTATATGCACTGACATCCAGCCAGACCAGGGCCATAGAGTCGTTGAATACGACACAGCAACATTTAAAATGTTTCCGTGTTTGTCAGTGTGTGGATGCCAGATGGGTGCATCTTTGATCACGCCCGTAACTGCAATGCCATTCAATATGGTGACATTTACAATGATGGGCATACTACCATGGTAAATCGGTTGCGAACTATATGGCCACATATAACTTTCTGTGGTGTCCAAATATTCAGGACTAAGCGTTATTTTGGGCTCATACGTTAAAAGTAATTGCATGCTCTTTAAGATATCCAGTTTACCATGTCCCTGTTCAAACATATTGTTATCTGACAGACGTTCAGCGCCTTCGATCAATATCTGTTTCATTGATGAGGGATTAATGAGATTCAATTTCGATAACGCACCACTAGCAATTAAAGCCACAGCGCCAGCAACAACTGGTGATGCTACCGAAGTACCAGATAGCGAACGGCAGCCGCCATGCACATTACTGCCTTTAACCTGACTGCCAAATGTGACGATATCCGGTTTCAGTCTACCATAGCCCCAAGGTAGTTCCCAAGTTGTCATGCCTCTAGAGCTAAATTTGGCAACTTTATGTTCGAAATTAATGCCACCAACACCAATAACATCACTCTGGTCGCCAGGATTGTTGAGTGTGCCATACAGTGGTCCGTCATTTCCTATTGCAGAAATCATTATAACCTTATTAGCGGATAATTCGAGCACTTTGTCCACAAATGGATGATCTAAAAAATCTGGACCGCCTATGCTTAAATTTAGCACTTTGATTTTCTTAAAAATAGCATAATTGAAGGCGTCCAAAAACCATGAAGTATATGAAACCTGTTAATGTTGGGGCGTAAATAAATAATATATATCGAACTTTTCACTATAAACAATTGACAGATACCTGAGAATTAGTGAAGACTCTATATATATGCAGTTCTACATCTGGTGCCAGTCCCAGGCATTCTTTAGCTGATGCAATAACACCAGCAACAAATGTGCCATGACTCACACCATCGTCTAAAGATTTTTCATTTGTCCAGTTGGTGCGTTCCTTAACACGTCGAAAATGTGGATGCGACTTTGCTAAGCCGGTATCGAAAACAGCTACCTTTACGCCAGCGCCCGTAATTCCCATGCCCCACAAAACATTGGCTTGTAGCATAGTTGTAATTTGAGTTGGAATTGCACGTAAAATATGTCGACCTATACGTTGATGTGTGTGATTATAATTTAGAATCCTTTTTACGCTACGCTGTGGCGAAACTTTATTGACAAGTGGATGTAATTCAAGCTGTAATATTTGTGCGGTCGTTAAATCACTGCATTCTAATTGTATCAAATCAAAATCGCTGGGGTAATTGAGCGCAGCATTCTGACGCTCAACTATATTCCATTCAGAGATCTTTAATGAGAAAAACATAAATAATTTATTTTATTTTATAGTCTTAAGTATTTTTGTACATTAGCTCGTCGAAAGGCAGCGTTTAGGTATTTCCTTCTTGCGGCAGGAAAATAGTAGTACCGGTATTGTACGATATACTCATTTTTCAGTATTTTGCTTTCAAATATAACTTCTTCAACATGCGTGCATTGTACACCATATATTTTCCAATGGATATTGGCAGTAAATATAGAACAAAATAAAATTATACGCGTGAGGAATAACAACATATTTATTTATATTATCAGTTTTGTTTTGATTACATATCCTTTCAATCGTAGAGTTTAGAAACAATGCTACCAGAAATATTTCTTACTCCTAAGGCAGTGTACACACGCAACTCTTAAATTAAAACCGTGTGTCATGTATTCGGACCAACAAATTGAAAAATTTATAAATATATCTGAAAAAAATAAATACTTAAAGTTTTTTTACGCAGAAGACTTTGTAACAACGTAAGCAATCTGTTTTATAATTACTTTGCTGAACTTTGCGACAGTTAATTTCCCATATACGGTTCAATTTCGCCCGTGCTGCGAGAGGCAAAAGTGTTTTTATAACAGCATATTCCAATAAATAAGTAAACTATTTATATACTTTAAATATAGAATTAAATAATAATTTATTAAATGTCATATATCCACTAATGTTGTACGTACACATGCAAGGTCTATGTTCTGAATGAGTGAAAATTATTGGCAATTACTCAAATGCAGTCAACCGGCAACATTGCAGCTCATATGTTTTGTTTGTACAATAAGTGACACAAATTGTTAGTTCCAATTGTTTATATCGGTATCTCAATGATACAAAAAGTATTTTGGCCCAAAAAGATATGAGTTGCTGACATCGTAGCAATTGGGGAATTACTTGATCAAAGCAATGCGCCGTGCGCTAAATAATGGTATTAGAAGATAAGATAAACGGCATATCGATAATTTTGATAATCTGGTGTTCGTCGTGTATTATTCGTTTCCAAATTTTTTTCACCCCTTCAAATGTTTATATGATAAATTCTAAAGTGCGCTAAGGTGTGGCAAGTTCTGTATATATTGTGTATTGAAATCATTCAAATTGCCTGCGTTGCATATTAATGCTAATCTATCAACTAAGCTTAAGTAATTCAAATAAATTCGATATTTGAAGAAAGACTACTGAAAATGGCACCGACCTATGACAAAGAAATGTTCAACATGGTAATTATAAATGCAATTACGGAAAATAGTGATATAATATAAGTAATATGCTGCTACTTTTTATATATATTATGTACTTCTTATATTCGTTAAGTCTATAAGTGTTAACAAGGCATTAAACCCTATGGAAGCACCGCTCAAAATGAAACACGCTCGCTTTATAATTATAACAACACATCGCGTTAAAGAAGCGAAATCCCTGTGGATGATTTTTACGCGCCAACCACTTATGGAAAATAGATTTACGGCATGGAAATTTTGTCACTTACTACATAAAGTGCTACGAGAGGGCCACGCAAGCACTATTAAGGATTCACAGACGCATAAGAAAATGATTTTGGAAATGGGGAAACTGTGGGGACATTTGCAAGACGGTGTTGGAAATTGCATACAAGCCTACAGTAAACTGATAGTGACAAAATTGGAATTCCATGAGAAAAACATTTTGTTTCCCGGTTCTCTGTTGATAGACTTCAAAGAAATTGAAAAGGCCGCTGGCGATGACATCAACATATAGTAAGTTTTAAATAAACAAATTTATGTTGCTAAGTATGTACACTTTTGAATTAGCATAGTTAGTGGTGTTTGAATTCAGTATTGTATGATTAATATGCAGTTATAGCTGGGCTTATGTTTATAAGTATATTTACTTTCTTTAATAATTATGCCAAATACAAAAAAAAAATGATTCTACATTAAATTTTTAAAATGTATTTATATCATTGGTAATTTATTTTAAAGTTAAAAATATAAATATAAACATTTGTATTAATAGAAATTAAAAAATTCTGGCCCTAAAATGATGTAAATTATACAAACACCATTTTTATAGCCTCAACAGGGTTTATAAATGTTGCCACGAAGTTTGTAACACCCAGAAGAAAACGTCGGAGACTCTATAAAATATTTATATATAAAATCAGAAAGACGAGCTGAGTCGATTTATCAATGTCCATCTGCTTGTATAGACCAATAACTAGCTCTTCCCTTTTCTCCCTAAGAAGTTTGTCGAAACCGCCTATATCGTTCCGCTATAGCAAGTAGCTACCATACGAACTGATCGATTTTGTATATGACGGCATATCTTCACAAAATTTTGCATTTGCATTATTGTCCAAGGCAATATTGTAATCTCCAAAGAAATTGTTCAGACCGGACCACTATATCATAAAACTGCTATACAAACAAATAGAAAACTTTTAATATTATTTGATTTATCTTCTTCTTATGTTATATGGAAAACTTTTTTTTATGACAAAATACATTTACAAAATTTTGCATTTGCAATATTGTCCAAGGAAACAATACAATCTCCGAAGGAATTGTTCAGCATACGTCATACAAACTGACCGATCAAAATTAAATTCTTACATAAAATCTTTGTATTTTAGATAGGTATTATAGCTTTGCAGTAACCGAAGTCAACCCGTTCACTTGTTTATGCTGATTTTTAGCTTATGGTCTTTTAACTTTAAACGAAAAAGAAGAATTGAAGAAACTAGAATTTGATATAATTGTGGAAAGCTCATTCGATCCTAAATATTGCTAAAAATTTGTTTCATGTTTTGAAATGTTTTATGCATCTGTTAACAACATAGTAGACTGAAACCTAACATAAAGTAAAATTTAATATGATATGTATAAAATAATATGTCCTCTTTCATAGTTTCCAGCTTTGTGTTGAAATTTTCGACTATTTGGACGATATTTTGGAGGTGCAGTCGCGCGTATTTACATCCATCAATGTATATCGCATGTCATCCATGACACCACAAGGTCAATGCCGTCTAGCACCATTAATTACGCTCATACAAGATTCGAATCCCTTGTACGATTTATGCGTACGTGTTATGTTCAAGTTGCACGATAAACTGCCAAATGATATTTTAACCGGACACCGCGATCGTTTTCGTGAATTATTTTTTAAAATCAAAACATTCTATGACAATGTACGACCACTACAGTATTTCTCAGATCTGATACAGGTGCCACATCTACCAGAATCAGCCCCGAATTTTACATCTAAAGTCGATTTCGGCAGTTACGTGCCACCAGTTATGTATGTACAACCCGATCCAGAGCCACCAATGGAAACATTGGTGGACACCAGTATTTCCCAAGAATCTGTCACTACACCAACAGCTACTGGGACAGAAGTAGTTGATAATGCTTCACTGCAAAATACTATTAGAGATTATGAATATGCGTTACAAGACATGCAAACCGAGCTGGTAACGTTAAGACAGAATTCCGAAATGCGGGAAAGAAATTATGAACATGAACTAACACGTTTGCGTAATGAAATAACCGGTTTGACTAGCGAGTTGACTCATTCAAAGGAAATTTGCGCAAATATGCAGGCGCTGAAAGACAGTCTGGAACAGAAATTAATCGAAACTCCGATACTATTACGTAAGTGAATATCAAATTATATAATATAAATATTTTGTTTTCTAAAAGTCATTTAGGAACATATGCACACGTTCCCGCGACAATATTATTTATATATTAATAATTGATTATTATATTTCGCTAATTGCCAAATGTTTTGGGCAAATTTGAAAGTTCGGACAAGCTGTATATGCAAAGAATTATTTTAATGCACCAATTGACAAATGTTTTCGACAATATTTTTGTAATTAACAGCTTTAATAAACACAATCTAAAAATTATTATTATTTATATTACAGAGAAGGCAACAGAAGAGGAGCAAAAAGCGAAAACATCAGAGGAAAAGTTTAGCAAGTTGAAAGCAATGTACACACAAATTAGAGATGAACATATTAATTTGTTGAGGCAGGTAAGCTCAGAAAAATCCGTGTATTTGGATATACGATTTTAAAATTTGGACAAATAGTTTATTCAAACTTCGCATAAAGACTTTTTGGATAACGACCTTTCATCTGAAATTAAAAAAACATAGTGATAAACAATATCGGATAATACAAATGTTAATCGGATTTTTGTCAATACGAATATTCTCATAATGGCACAAATAAATAACGAATTATATCGGTGTCAAAGGATAATTAATATGAATATCCAAAAAGTTTTAGATTATGTGTATACTTCCAAATATGCTTTTTACTGAAATAATCTTGCACTCATATTTTTAACAAACAACTGTAGGTTTTTTTTAATATATTAATATCTACAACAATAATTTCTTCCTAGTACATATTTCGCATGTAGATTTTCAAAAACGATGGATATCTCAATTACCGAGCACAAGTACTAAAGCATAATTTTAGGCTTAAATTCATATTCAACTACTACATGCCACAGTATTTTCATATACTGCCGAAAGTAACTAAATCTAACAAAAAATGTAATAAAACTACCCTTCACTTATTTCTCCATTATTCATCAAATATTTTTGAAATGGTCCAATGCACGGGTCTTCTTCTCCACAAGTAGCTTCTCATTTGTCGAAACCCCTTCATAATGGACCGCTATAGCACGTAGCTCCCATACAAACTGACCGATTAAAATCAAGTTCTTGTATGTAAGCTTTCGTATTTGTGAAGGGTTTTATAGCTTCGATGCAACCGAAGTTAATATTTTTTCTTGTTTTGTTTTAAAAATGGTCCAATAACACCTCTTCTGATGACAGTGATTTCTAATAATTATTCAATTTTTACTATTTTGTAAATTTTTCTAATTTTAAAATATTATATTTTGCAGCATGGCGAATCTACTAAAAATTTAAATCGAGAGAAACATATAAACACAGAATTGCAAAATGAAGTGAGCAGCCTTAAATCACAAATAGGCGAAATAAAAGGTGAACTTGAAAAAAGTGAAAAAATCACCACAGAAAAGCTTGCATTAGCAACAGAAATCGAAACCGTGTCACAAGATTATCAAAAGCTTCAAAGGGAACACGAGGAATTAAGGAAGGAATACCAAAGATTTTCCAACAATAAAAAAAGCGAAATTGCCGAATTGACTGTTAAAGCCGTGCAACTGCAAACCGAATCGGTGGCATTGCTTGGAAGTCAATCGAAGGTGGCTGAACTTGAAGGGAAACTCAATACAATGAATGATGCTTTCACCAAAACACAAATGGAACACTCTGTTATGGTAGAAGAATTAAAGCGGGACATAGAAAATAAAAATTACAATATAAGTGAGCTACAAACAATACACAAGAGGGAAATAACGGAGAAAGTGGACAAAATCAAAGAACTTGAGTTAGGTTTAAATAACGTGGAACAAACTTTGAGGGTGTGTATTTATTGAATATATGTATATTAGACATATGTATTATTACTACGAATATAATAGTAATTATTCGGCCCTATTCCGTTGTTGTCGTTGTTATCGTCGCTTCGTTTCTAAATTCGCATTCTTCAAGTATATCGTACGTCAATGAAAAGTTATCGAAATTTTAAATTAAAATTAAGAAAGTATGTTCACGCCCTATAGCGCCATTGTATCTGAAGTTGTTATTTATTGTTTTGCAGAAAATATTTGAACCATTCTGTGAATTTAAGTACAATTATACAATGAAAATAATAATAACTCCTCCTCCTGTTGCTCAGGCTTCGGATTTTTTGGGTTCCATTTTTTACTTTATTTTGAATTTTAGGTTCTTCCATGCCTCTAATATATACATACATAATGTTCCCTTCATAGATATAAAAATGAAATTTTAATAATTTTATTTACCTTATGCGAACCGTCTCCGTCGCAAATGGATTAAGTTTTTCGAAATATCCTTCCAAAAAACTCGTAGTTCAATAGTTTTATCCTTTTCGGACCTTAAAATTTCAAACTGATTCGTGTTAGTAATTTTCACTTCAAACAATCGCGCTCGTTTCTATTCGCTCTTTATTACTACAACGGCAAGGAACGACTGTTACCGTCGTTTCAAAATGGGGAATACGAATTTATTTTCGATAAATGACGATAACGCCAACAGAAATGCCACATAGCCATTCTTGTTTATTTTGAAAACGGAAATTGGTGCCGAATATATATATTCGAGTCGTTTCTTGGGTTTACAGAACCGGAACGAACGCGGATTTATAAAGCTCCTCAAAACTGCTGCGGGAGTGTTTTATACCGTTTAAACAATAACCATTATATATTTATAATGCCTTCAATTATGTCAATATTAATTTTCAGGAAAATAAAATACTCGTAGCAAACCTTGAAATTGAGCAACGAGCGAACATCGAAAAACTTCAAGAATACCAAGAACAGAAGAGCAATTTGGAAGCCAAATTAATCGCAGCCAATACGGCGATAGAAATGGAAATTGGAGCAAAACGCGAAAGCGAAATGAAATATGAAAATAAACTTAATTCGCTATATCAAAAAGTATTAAATACCATCATATTCGTAACAGAAGCAAAAGTCAATGAAGTGAATCAGCCAAATTTCGACAAGACAATAAAATTAGTAGGTGATATGGAAAAAATACTGGAGCAAACCAGCAGCATTTATGGAAAGTTTGTTGAGAATAAACAACTTATTGACGATGTCACACAGCAGACAATATTTTTGGGTTGTATATTTATTATGCTACATGAACAGTGCCTCTTGATATATAACACAACCACCGATATAGGCAAAGGCGAAGGTAAAAAATAATAATAAATCCTAATTGCGACAACATAATTAAGAATAAATGTAAATTATTTTATATTTCAGATATTTACAATCAGATCAATAGTGTTAAAGATCCATTGCTCACGCTCTTCCAACAAATCAAAACTATCGAAGATATAACAAAAATAAAACATTCCATTGTGGAAACAAAACAAAAGTTAAGTGCGCTAAACAAATCAGTGAGTGACCTCAACAAATCGAGCAGTAATCATGTGGAGTTGGGTGATTTAGTAGAAAATGAATTAGCCGAAATGGACAAGGCTATCGAAGAAGCTGCTGAAAAATTCGTAGAACTACTCTCAAGTGCACGATCCAAAGATGAGGGTATCAAATTGGAAGTGAATGAGAAAATTCTCGACGCTTGCACATTCCTTATGCAATGCATTAAGCTGTTAATACGAAAAGCTAAGGCTTTGCAAGAGGAAATTGTATCGGCCGGACGAGGTGAGTGCGTATTATAGAACAGTGTGCTCAATTTCCAATGTTTGAAAATTAATTAAACAAAGGTAAACGAGGTAATGTTGAGTGGCTCTTTGTAACTTGCTGCATTACTTAATGCAATTTTTTAATAACTCCGCAAAATGTATATTTAATTTATCGAAGTGTTTACGATAAGTGACCATAGGTAATTTGAAGTCCTCAACTGAAAAGATATGAAATTAAAAATTGCAAAGACCGTAAATAATTTGAATTTGTTGTGATTTTCAAAAGAAAAAATTAATTACTTGAATTTGAATCTTAAAAATCGACATACAAAAAAAACGTGTTAATACTTTTTCGACGGTCTATGCATTTTTTTGATTTTTAATATCCGATTTTTATGATTTTCTTCGCTGATAATGATTAGTTCTTTAATAAATCATAAATAATCATTATTTTGGAACAAAAAATTATAAAAATAATGATAATTAGTGATTTTTATTTTTTGCTAACTTTGACGCAGTCTCTTTACGAATATTTAAACTTATTTTTCCTATTGGGCCTGGTATATGTCCTGGTTTGCATGTTTTATTCCTCTCGTATTCAAAACATGAAAGTTATTAAAAAAAAGTTTCTGAGCTGCTAGAAAACTTCAAATTTTAGTTTGCCAAAAATTTAAAATGATTTAATGTCTTAAATACGTGTTTTTTATTGCTTTCGATGAGGTATTTAATCTGACCAAACTAGTAACTCAGTCTGTTTCGCAAAGTTAAACTTTGAAAAGTTCTTTTTGATTTCTGTTTTTTCAGCATACATTTTCTATAGATGCACTACCTAAAAGAATAATTAAATTTGTATCAGATTCCTTAACTGCTAAAATCAAGTTTATACCTGGGTATAGATTAGTTTTGAGGTATGCACCGCGACCTATGGTCTGTTATACCTGGGTAACAGCTAGACTTTTACAAAACGTTCAAAGTCTTCGTTTTTAAAGAGAACCATTGTTCATTAATAGCAATTTCTAAGACGTTTTGATGAATCAAATTAAAACAAAACAAATTTAAAAAAACAATTATTATTTGTTATTGTAAAAAAACAGTTATTAAATTGAAAAACCATAAAAAAAGGCTAATAAATATAATTCTACTACGATCTACTGTTCATTAAAATTAGATAAAATATTTCAAGCAAAGTAGAAATTTTTATTTTAATTGAATGCCAATTGAACTTTCGTTTTTATTTATTTATTTTGATATTATTTTTATTATTAATAAATATTTTTAGTTTATGATTATTTTTAGTTATATATAAATATTTAAGTAAAGTTGTCGCTTTACTTTTTATACTTAATCTAAGCCAAGTATTTTCTAAATTGAAGATTGAAGTTGAAAACGCATTTTTTGAAACAAAATCTAAATTAACATGTTAAGCAATAAAAACAAATTTGTGATCATAATATCTTTATCTTCCAATAGGCACCACCTCGATTAAGGAATTCTACAAACGTAATAGCCAATGGACGGAGGGTCTGATATCAGCCTCAAAGAGTGTTGCCAAAGGTGCTAATCTACTCGTCGAAGCCGCTAACAAAGCCATCGTATCGGAGTCAACACAAAACTTTGAATTAATCGTTGCTGCGCAAGAAATTGCCGCCTGCACTGCTCAATTGGTCATCGCAAGCAAAGTAAAGGCGCCCAAGGAGAGTCAAAAGCTCGGCGATTTGACAAAAGCTTCGCGCGATGTATCACAAGCGACAGGACAAGTCGTTGCCACCGTCAAGGATTGTAATCAATCGTTGGAACAGCTGCAAGAGGTGGATTTCACGAAATTAACATCGTCACAAGCAAAAACCATGGAAATGGAGATACATGTTAAAGTTTTGGAACTGGAGCAAGCACTGCAAATGCAACGTTTGAAATTGGCGTCATTCCGACGCAAGCATTACCAAAATTCCGACGATTAAATTTAAATGATTTATATGTATATGTATGTTACGATTTTTTATCTCTATTTGACAATTAGATTAGTTGTACAGAATGTTTTATTATACAAGTATTGTATATGGAAAAAAAACCAGGAAAAAAAAAAAGGAAAAATTTTGCGTGATGGCGCTAAGTAAAAGAAATCGAACCAAAATATATATTGACAATATTGTGTCACACATGAACGTGATTTTGACGCGTAACTTATTTATACAACATACTTACATACAAACGCTGTTTTCATTCATACATACATTCATACATTTATATTAAAAGTATATAGTGCAGTAGGCAATCGTTAGAGTACGTTATAACCAGATATTTATTATAAAATAGAACACGTTTTTATTATCATAATTACTTTCATGTTATTTCATATATATATATATATCGGTTTATTTATTCAAGCAGAGAAAACTTAATTTGCGTGAACAAACTTTATTAAGGAATGAGTAAATAAATATTTTTTTTCATGGTTACTTGTGTAGAAAAACTTAAAATATCTTTTTATTTTATTGGTGAGCTTGTATAGCACACGTTGCTGACCGGCCATCCCCGCTAAACCCTCTAAGGTTTGTGTCCCTTCTGAAATTAAAGAAAAAATTATTATTATTGATAAATTAAATAGAGCACATAGTCAATATATATTAGATTTATACATGTTGAGTATTTGTTCATATAAGTAGGTAGAAAAAAATTTAAATCTAAATTAATATATAATATATTTTAGAAATTTTAAAATGCTTTGCTTTAAAATATTTCTTACAACTGTTCTTAGTTTATAGATGGTTTTCAATTCTACACAAGTTTTATTGCATAACGCGTCTAACTCTTTAAACCTTACTGAGTCGAGGATAAAATTAGAGCCTTATTGATAAGCGCTCAAAAAGATAGGAATTCACAGATCAACTAAAGGCCGGCCTGTGTTTCAGTCAAAATTTTTACTTTTTTAAACAATCACCAAAAGACTTTTAATTCATTTTCGAGGTGAATACCAAGGATTATTACATGAAATCTTTTATGCTTCACTTTCTTGCTTGATTTACGTTTTCATTCAAAAAAGGCGCATTCATTAATTCAGTATAACAAAGTAATTTTTGAAAATTACTGAGAATAGAATAGAGAAACAAATACTATGAACCTAGTTCTTAAATGTTTAGCTCCAAACCATATTATGTATAAAATCATATAAAGAGGAAAAAAGTGCTATAATTCCAGAGTTAGGTATCTGATGGCTAAACCAAAGTCAGGACCGATTCAAAACATAACCACTTCAAATTCATTAAAATATTACACATATTGACACACCTAAAGCGATTAAAATCAATCGAAAGTCGAAAATAACGATATAGGGACTAAAAGAAATTGTAGGCTAATTTCATTTATTTTTAGCATTAAAATAAAATTCATCCATTTTAGACGTCAACTACACTACTTGACAGATATATATTTGGTATAAAGATATTCGAAAGTTTTAAAACCATTATACCATATTATAATATTTACATATATGCGAGTTATGGGAAGTAATGAACCGATTTTACCAATTTAAAACTTCAGACCACATTAGGTATTATTTTAAAATTTTAAAAATCTTGATTTAAACGATGGAAAAAATTATAAATTTTCTTATTAATCCAAAATGAGCGTGCTTGGTTCGATCCTACGTATAGTATGATAATTGATAAACCTGTAAACGCGGAAAAGTAGCAACAAAGTTTAGACCATCCTTTGGGGAGAAGCATGCCTCACGTGCTATTCAGGACGTTTCCGCCCACTCCCATGGTGCGAAAGCGTTAAGTTACATTTCTACTTATTTTGTTTAGGTATTACATAAAAGATAATACTGCTACTAATTGTCCATAAGTTTTTTTTTTGTTTGGTAACAAAACATTTAAAGAAAGAATAAATAACTCGAGGCTCTGAGCTGAATCCAATTGAAAACTTACATACTTTCAAAGTTAAAGTTACGAACAAGAAACCCAAAATATTAGAAAAGCTTGACTAAATGTTGGAAAATGTTATACTCATATATCGATATAACCCTTGAAGCAATGCACAATATAGTCGATTCTATGTCAACACGTATTAGAGCCGTCATAAAAAACAAAGGAGGTCCAACAAAATAATGAAAGCTAATTATACCCCCGAACTCCCAGCAGAAAACGACAGAGATCTATAAAATATATATATATATAAAGTCGATTTAGCCTTGTTAGTCTGTTTGTCCGTCTGTCTGTCTGTATATACGCGAATTAATCCTTAATTTTTTAAGATATCGATTTGAAATTTTTCACACGTCCTTTTCTCTCCAAGAAGCTGCTTATTTGTCGGAGCTCCCGATATGGGACAACCATTGCATATAGCTATCATACAAACTGAACGATCAAGGTCAAGTTATTAAAATGAAAACATTTTTATTTAACGACATATCTTCACGAAATTTGGCTTGGATTATTGTATAAAACAAGCTATAAATACAACTTTATTCCAAACACTTGTAGTGTTACTTCGTTTTACGTTAATTGGAAATTTTTAATATAAATTTTTAAAGACAGAAAAAAAATATCTGGTATCCACGAAATAATTATTTTTAATAGCCACTATTTGATAAAAAAATGTTGAATACAAATTTTCTTCAAATAATGCTATATAGCTTATAGTATTGAAAAATATAATAAGTAGATAGATCTGATGAAGAGATAAAATTGCACAAATAAATATAGGATATTTAGACAAATTAGTGGAAGAGATAAATTTTGCTGAATAAAATTAAACAATAAGAAAATAAAAAAGTTAAAAAAATTTTAATTAACAAAGATAAATAAATGAATAAATAATATAAAAAAATAATATCATTAGTTATAAAAGTTTAGAAATAGAAAAAAAATTTTAATACAAATTTTTTTGCATACAGAGCATTGGTAAGCGAAATAGAGCAGAAAATACATATTAAAAATTGTTTGCAGATGTAATAAATAAAAATGCATAGAAATAAATAAAATAGTAAACGAAGAGTTAATAAATATTTGTTATCGGGTTTATTTGCTATTAAAAAATTAAAAATAGCTAATGATAAGCAATAACCCCAAAGCGCTCGTGTGAAGAATGCAGAAAGACCCGCGAACGCTTAAAGGTCAAAGCTTTGGTTTGAATATGAAATAAGCATGCAAAATAAAGAAAACAAAAAGGTAAATATGAATGGCAACTAAAAAGTGTGATCAACATATACAACTCGATGATGTTATTCCGAATGAAGGAAAAAGCCGTGTGACAAAAAAAATAAATAAAACCAAAAAATTAAAGGCTCATACATATGTGATGTACATTTGTATGTTATAAAAACTAGAACACTGCATCCCATTTGGAAATTACCTCATCGTTATCAGCATCTTCTTTAAAATGTCTTGAGCGCCGCTTTTCGCCGCTGGTGAGCAGTTGTGCAACTTTGGTTTGTTTCGCTAAATCTAATGCTTCTTTTTTGCTACGTAACGCACAGTCCTCCAATGTTTCGGCTGCCTCGAACATACCCTGTCGCCGGTACAGGGCGCCAAGATTCTTTAGTGTTGTCGTAACAGTTGGTGTATCGACTTTCGCCGCCTTATGCCAGCCACCGTATTCGCCGTATGGTGTATTATAACAATCATCATATTTATGTTCCTCTCGTTCCTCAGCAACCTAGCCAAAAACAATTTCAAAGGTATTGCAACAGTGTTTACAAAGACCACACAAAATGTATAACAATCTTATTATTCATTAACTCACAATTGTAAAGTCAATAAAAACAATTATATATATATATATATTTACGAATTTCTTGACAAAATAAACAAAAAATTGTTAATTAAATGCCAACAATCTGGCATTCGTGCATGACTATTAAAATGAGTAGTAACCTCATATACATATATGGTACATATATATTATATATAGGTAGATAAGTATGTGAATGTTATTTAGATATACACTGTTAAGCGCAAACACGACTTTTTCCTTGCTTTTTGTTTGTTTCTTTGTTCGTTTTGTATTGCAAAGCGCTGCTTAAGCTTTTTTGCTGCCTTTTACATGTTAGCTAAACAGCCACAATTGATACTTACCTGCCAAATTGGCTTATTTTTGCTGTGAATGGCCCCAAACTCACGTTCGTGTGCACGATTTAAGACTTGCTTATAGAGGACTTCGGCTTCTGTATATTTGCCCTGTTTCAGATAACAGCTGGCCAGGTTGTTTTTGGTTTTAGCGACATTCGAATCATCTGGACCGAGTTTCGATTCGTATATTTCTAATGCACGTTGGTAATACTTTTCAACTTCATCGTATTTTCCCTGATTTTGGCACAGCAATGCCAAATTGTTCAACTGCTTCGCCACATCGGGATGATCTTTACCAAGCACCTTTTCTCGTATTTCCAGTGCACGCTTACAAAGTGGTTCAGCATCTTTATATTTGCCTCGTTTACCATATAAAACAGCTAAATTGTTTAAGGTTGCCGCTACAGCTGGATGATTTTCACCTAGTGTTTTGCCACGAATAGACAGCGCATCGTTTAGCAGATTGGCTGCCTCTTTGTATTTGTTCTAAATGTAAGTCAAAGTTAAATAAATGAGTTTAACGTAATCTCATATATTTCTCACCTGATCGCGATAGACTAAGGCTAGAATATTCAACATCGTAGCAACATCGGGATGATCGTGGCCACTAGTTTTCTCCAAATCTTCAAGTGCTTGTTTGCAAAGTGGAACTGCCACTTCGTATCTAAAAATAATAAAAAGTTGGTTTTAACATAATAGAAAATATGTCCAGATTACAGTTAAAAAATGTTTACTTCCTTAATAAATATTGCTCCAACGAAGGAAAAATATATATATATATACATGTATTCTAGTTAATACTCTCTTAAAATTTTATAAAAAAAAGTATAATAAATACTAATTTAGTTGCCCAAGACAAGTTTTCTATTCAATTAATAAATATGGCGAAAAATTAGTGTTTTCGTACACACTTAAGGTTACAAATAATGCATTAAAAATTAGTTGATTTAACATTTGAATTAAATTTTTTTTTATTTTGTAATCCCAAAAATCTGAACTAAAACTAATTTTAAATTTTTAGCCCAAAATACAGGATTGGAAAAAAAATGTAATCAAGAAGGCCGGAATTTAAAATAAAAACAAAAAATTGTAATCCAAAAAATCGGGATATTAATAATTAAAAATTAAATAGCCAATTGTGCGTTATTAATTGTGTGTTATTAATTTTTAATCCCAAATACCGGCAAAGTTCGTGTTCTACCAATTTGAATATATTTTAAAAAGGAAAGCTTACTTTTAATAAAATATCAACATACTCGTAGTTTAGCTCTTTTTGTGTTCTTTTTATTTTATTACTTTCATTTACAGTTTTATAGTTAGAAATATGTAAATTCCTTTCCTCCTTTTATGCGTTTTTCACGTTTTCAATCCATAAAAATAATTGTTTTTTTTTGCTAAAACTTTTAAATTAAAAAATATTTTTTAATTTTTAAATACCAAACATATTGGACTTCAATTTGAATCTCTATTATTAAATTGAATAAAATTTTAAATTTTTAATCCCAAAATAATTTAAGGTAATTCACTTTGTATAATATATCTCAGATAATTATTCCTGAGCTTTTACGCTGCTGACGTCACATAATAACTGACTTTTAAACGAAAGCTATATCGTAACCGGTACAAAAGCAAGCATATATGTATATTCACATATCCACTTTTACACACTTAGCGGAAGTTTATTCTCATTAACAATTCAATTAAGAAAACTATCAAATCAGTTTCCACCTCTCCCAGATCGAGAAATTTTAAAATATTATATATATGACTATAGCGATAAAAAAATGTTTCACAATAATAAGAATTATACTTGGTGATAATCTTCACTACTTTCGTCAAAAAAATAAGTCTGCTCAATTAGTGGGAAAAGTAGAGAGCACATTTTCTGCACTTTCTCAAAGAAAACTAATGACCACATTTCTATAAAAAAAAAAATATATGTAAAAAATTCAAAACTTGTATTTTATAGCACAAAAAGTTTTAAAACATTCCTAACGTAACCGAGTATGTTAATTAAGAATAGCTGAATAAGACGGCCAACCCTGAAGTCGACGCACAAAGAAGCATATAAAATTGTATTTTGATACAAAAAAGCCGGTAAATACTTGTGTTGTCAAAATTTCTGCAATTATCCTTATTGCTCAGCAATGTTATATGCTCTCACCTACTCTCACTTTACTCATTTATTGTTCGCACACTCACAATAAAATTTTGAATCAATGAACCCGCACCGACATATAAACGTACATGCCATACATGTATTGAAATGCATACACACCTGCCTTGCGAAGCATATTGAATCACCAAATTATGCAAAGTACGTAGACGTGCTGGTATCTCATAGCCAGCAGTCGAATTAGCGAATTGACTTGGCGGCGTTGGCGACATATTGTTTCGCTCCTCATTTTCCTCATCGGGAAAGAGTTCGACGACTGGGTCGGTACGTGATTTTTCACAAGAATCCTCTTGCTCCTGATTATCATCGTATTTTTTAACGGATGCCATAAATTCGAGATGTTTTTTCTCTTCTTCCAATTGTGCTACCAATTGTTCGGAGGCTTGGAATTTTTGCTGTGTATTGGCTAGCTCATCGCGTAGCCACGCATTTTCTTGGTGCAGTCGGCGCACTTGTGTTTTTAATTTTTGTTTTTCAGCCTCGATATTTTGCAAATGTGACGCTAATGCCATCATAACTTGAGCCTCAGACAAACCCAATTCAATATGTTCAATATTTTTTCTTACTATATCGGATTTCTCATTTTCTCGATGAGCTTCGCCCATACCAGTCATCAAGGAGACGTGTTCGACACGCAAGGCCTCGAGACCCTGCAGCACTGTTTTTGTATTGCTAATAATTTCATCTTGTGTCATTTGAGTCATCTTGCCAATGCTTTCGATTTTTCGTCTGAAAATGTGCAGATTTAAAAAAGAAAAAACATATTAAAATCTATTCAATCATGGCAGTTGTATGAATGTGTAAATTGAAAAATACTACGAATCTAGTTTCCAGTGTATCTATTTGTCGCGAAGACCTCATACTTAAAACTAAACTAAATTACCCAACTATACCATAAATACATGATTAAATTACGTTATGTTTAATACATTGTTAATAGTACTTACATTCTATAGGTTCTTATTGCCTTAGAAGCTATCATTTTGTAAAAAAAATATTATTTTCAGCAGACGAAATCCTTCTACGTCCGTAAGCGCGTACATTTCCACTCTCTCTGTGTGTACAAATGTCCAAAAATCAATAATCTTCCTAGCATATTTATCAATTGTCTGCGCAAGCGCACAAAAAATTACGTCATTTTCAACCCCAAAACAATATATGGACTCCAAACGTTACCATACACAAAACAAAAACAAACTAAAGGACATGAAATCCAAAACTGTACGAAACTTTTGAAGAAATATCACTATAAAAATAGTTCTACTATATCGTAGTGATAAATTTAAAATAAACCTATGAAATGATAAATTACTAAATCATTAAAATGACTTTAAATATTAAGTAAACAGTGCATAAAAGTTGGATATACAGACGGTAATAGTCTTTATCTCACGGAACTAGCCCGGATATTTATTCAAGCGGCAACCCTTCACCTCCAAATACATGGAAAAGTCTAGACGATATTGTATCGTCATTGACAAACGTATGGTAAATTGTGTCAGCATCAATAGGTTTAATATGTTGCTAATTCTCTAGATTAGCATGGTACTCTATATAATACTTATAATATTCCACTCAAATTATTTAAAAATAACGGAAGCTGAAATACCCTTCCAATTGCAGAAGATTCCACACAAGAACTTGATTTTGAACGGTCAGTCAGATTTTACCGTTGTCATGGGCGATATTCATGCCAAATTTCGTAAAGATATCTCGTCAAATAAAAAAGTTCCATACAAGGGCTGGATTTTGATCGATTAGTTTGTATGACAGATATATGCTATAGTGGTCCTATATCAGCGGTTGCTACAAATATGATCGTTATCTCAAAAACTGAGCAACTAGCTAAATCGACTCAGCTCATGTTGATCATTTTTATATACATATATTTTATAGGGTGTTCGACGTTTCCATCTGAATAGTAAAAATTTCGTGGCAAGCTTAATATACCCTGTTCAGGGTATAAAAATGCTGCTGATTTAACACTTGTTTGTCAGTTACAAATGCAGGGCGTTTCCAGTTGCATAGAACCCACCTATAATAACGTGCCATAGCAAGTACTATTGTTTCGTTGATTAAATCTATTTTTTTTTTATTATAAAACTATACGCTGTTAACACTCTTATTATTAATACATTTAGATATGAAAATAAAATTATATTCAATAGTCGAAATCAATATGGTTGCATCTGATTGGAAGTGGTGCATAACTACGGTATGATTCTGCAACAAAAACAGCATTGCTCTGAACTAACAACATTGACAAGCTTTATCACCCACTTTAATATTATTATACCGTGTACGTTTTGATGTTCCAAAGCATTATGTCCATCACTTTCGATGTTGATTTATATGAGGAATTTATTTTTAAGTTTTTCAATGTTTACATTTGGATTTAGCTGTTTACTAAAAATTTCTAGTATAATGTAGTGCAAATATATGGTATAAATCTTTGAATTAAGTGTTCTGAGCATATTTTTAGTACATTGTTCATTCAATAAATGTTATTACGCTACATACATTTTGTAATATTTTAATTATCATATTCATATATCTTCCAATTAAAATATGAAATATTTCTATGAAATTGCCTAGTTCTGAAGTTACGACACTGAACATCTGCTTCCAAAAACGTATATCACATATGTGTCTACAGATCTCTACATCCGATTTTAAAACTTTAAAGCGTTTTCACGTTTACAAAGTTGTCCCTCATAACTTCAAAACTACTGCACCGATTGTTTTCAAATTTTGAACACTATTATTATACAAAATTCACGAGGTAAGGGTTTTCCAAATTTGTGAATATGATTCATTTTACAATAACAAATTAACCCTTTTTTTCGCAAAAACTCCCTTTTTTTCCTTTTAAGTGTTTCCAAAAAGTGAAAGATTGGTATTTCGATGGTCTTTTTTTACACGAATTAACCCTACTTCTCCATAGTCTAACGAATAGCTTTGTATACTAACCTATAGTAGTAGATTTTATATAGTTCTATCGTTTTATTTTCTGAATCCAATTGATTTACTTAATTGCTTTAATTTACTCTTGCACAATTTTAATGCATACGTTTAAAAATATATTGTGGTATATTTATATATTTCTCGACACTTTTTTACTTCCAACCAAAATATGTGTAGGTCATAGGATGGTACGGGAAAACATATGTTCTATTATTTATATTAAATTTTTTGGACACGTATTTATGATATTTATTATAGAAAGCAAGAAATGCTGGTGCACTTTCACAGCGATTAAATCTATAACTAACATGATCTTAGTTCTGCAATAAGCAAGTACTTATGGGCATACGAACGAAAACATATGCACAAGTGGATGAATATATTATGAACATATGTATGTGTACATATCCAATTTTCAACACACTTTTGTATCATATATATACACTCAAAGTGTTGGCTTTTGCTAAAGACAATTTGTTCATAATACGTACATTACTTCACTAATGACTCATTTAATTTTGTTAATTCATTTTCTCTATTCCTAAATGAGCTAATTGCTGCTATGATAGTAAAGCAAAAACAAACCTGACACCAAATACTTATAGAAAGTTTCGTAAAATTTTACCTGCAGCAAGAGTCAATGATGGCTGAGAGTCGATCAACTGTTGAAAACTCTACTTTTGTTAATCGTTCGATGTAGAATTATTTATATGCGTTCAAAATATTCAGACGGCCCTAAAAAGTTTCGACCGAAATTTATGGAACGAACAAAAAACTTGACTACACCTAAAAGTATTCGATTATCACAGTAACGAGTAAAAATGTACTTTATCTGAATGTGCTGCCAAGTATTCAAAATTGTTTCAAATAAATATTAAATACTAACAAACATCGAACAACGAAACAGATCCCTTGGTGCAAGCTCAACTCAATAAAATGTACAGCCATTTCTCATATAAGACGATAAGATTCCAATCATGTTTAATTTTGTTGTTTATATGTTTATATAAGAAATCTTGACTAAAAATAATAAAAAGCAACATTTATATAATTTCTTTTTCTGATTTTACTGGCAAAAGTGAAGACTCTTGTCTTCCTGTTATGTTTCGTATTTCCAAGAATGGCCTTTACAATATGACAACAAAAGGAAAGTAATTATTTAATGTTGCCGGTTTGAGTGAAGCGCTTTTAAAGATGAAGTTGGTTAGGTAAATAAAAATATTATCTTTTAGTAGTTCCAACAATTATATATATTTTTAAATTTTTAGAAATTCGTTATTATTTGAAGTAAATTCTCGTTGTGGTGGTTAAATGATTAGGGTGCTTAGACAACGGCGGGAATTATTATGAGAGTTGGAACACATGCATTTCGCGTATATAATTTTTTGCACGTTTCAAACGTTTACTAATGAATGTAAAATGGTTAATGAAATCTTTTTACCCCCAATAATTTTACATATTGTGTAATATAATAATTCTTATGGGATTTACTAACGAAATAATTCGTCATTGTTTCTCGTAAAGTCGCACATTTATAAACGGTTTAAACTAATTTAACTTTCCACACTGAACTGCTCATAAGTATTTGTAAAGGTATTATAATGAATAATTTTATCTTGCAAATCTTCTCTTAATAATACACAAATATAGGCATAGGCAATTATTGTTAAAGAAAAAACAAAAGTTGATTTTAATATTCGGACCTTATACCAACCATGTTTTTAGAAATAGAAAACCATCTTAATATCTTTACCTCTTTTTTCAGATTTCTTATGAAACTAAGTCACGAAACGGTGACAATCGAATTAAAAAATGGAACTCAAATTCATGGCACAATCACAGGAGTAGATGTAGCGATGAACACTCATTTAAAGTCGGTTAAAATGACCATTAAAAATAGGGACCCTGTTCAATTGGAGTCCCTAAGTATTCGTGGTAATAATATACGATACTTCATACTGCCAGACAGCTTACCGTTAGAAACACTGCTCATTGATGATACACCAAAATCGAAAACAAAGAAAAAAGATAGCAGTCGTGGTGGTAATCGCGGCAGAGGACGTGGAGCACGCGGTCGGGGTGGTCCTCGAGGTCGTGGGCGTGGACGGGCAACTGGTAGACGTTAAGATTTTAAAATACTTTACTGAAATTAAATAAAACTTAAAGGATAGAACCAGGAAATTTAATTTTTTTTTATTAACTTACATTATAATTATTCAATGTATAAAACTATCGATCTTGAATACGAATTTTTTTAATACCAAGCATAAAATAGTCTGTACATAGTGAATACTATTAATATATTAAAGATTATGATGGCAATTATGCCTATCTGTTTAGATTTGTCTTTGTGGAAGGTTTTAACGTTTTCTTTATGTTTATCAACTTCGGCTTTCAACACTAAGATTTCCTCTTCTAACACTGCGCGTAATGTTGGGTTAATGTCAGGATTGTCCAATGCATCTTCAAGTCCACGAATTTTATTTCCTAAATGTAATAAATCGTGTTCAACGCTTTCAACCTGGAACATTTTATTTGAAGTTTTTTGACATGCAAAAGTTGACATATTCATACATACTTGCTCTTTTAAGCTGCAAGTTCGTGGATATTGTGAAGGTTGGAGACGAAATGTCATGTTTAAAATTCGATTTCAGCTCCACAAAGTAAGTAATTTCAAAAATATATGAATTTTTACAAGGGTATAGCTGGTGTAATAAATATATAATATGTTTATTATTTCTCCAATTTTTTTTAAATTCACTTTTACTAATAAAAATACTTTCATTAGTTTTACTAAATTTTGACATTAACGTCTCTACTTACATTATTCTATTTTTTCTCAACTAGCCAAACCAGTAATAACTAATACGCAGATCGTCAACGTCACTATCTAACTTAAAAAATGTGAAAGTCGATTTCTAAACTCGACTTACGGTTCCGATTCAATAATAAATATACACACATCTGTAACTTTTAAAAAATTCCGTAAATTTATTTTAATGTAATTAAAAATAGTTTAGGATTCACACATACATTTATTGAAGCTATAATTATGTCTGTAATTAATTTGCTTATGATATAAAAAATTATTATGTTTTTGACTAGATTGGATAATTTTCCTCATTAAGACATTCAATTTAATTTAATATTTGGTTACACTATTGGCAGCGATTGCGTTATTATTTGGAAATGAACGACCGATTATCTTTCCTTAATAGCGCTTTCTGTTTAAAAATACCTTGGCAGTAGCGTACAAAATTTGAGAACATGCATAAATATTGCCTAGAGCACATCCCAGTAAAGCTCCGACCACATTTGGTATTGGATATGCCTGCCAATCACGATCCCAGTCTAATGGAGCAACAACCGACCCAGCCCAAGCTCCCAATATAGCGCCTATAGCATTGTATTTAAATAACCCAAGCGCAGTGTCTTCACTTTTTGTTATGAAATCTGGTTTTTCACAGAAACACACTTGTAATGCGCCACCTCCTCCCAATAGCAATACTGTGGGTGTTGTTGTTTCTAATGTAAGTAAAAGTGCAAGTACGAAGGTCTGTTCATAACTCTGCAGAACGGGGGCTCCTAGTATAATACATATGAACGCATAAAGAATCGTACATAAAAATTGTAAAAATAATCCTCCACATATTTCACGTATTGAAAAGTAGGAAGCCCTCTTTTGTCGCTGCTTTTGTGTTAATGAATTATCATCACACCGGCTATAGAATCTCGCAAGTAGTACCTTGAGCAATTCACTTGTGAAAACAATAGGCACTACTAAGGACTTCCAAATGCTTCCCACGTTTGTCCAGTTGCGTTGGAACTGCAAATACGTCATACAAATTAGTACAGTAGCCAAACTAATGGACAAGTGGAAAAGCTGATGTTTTGTTTTTTGTTGATCAAATTTGGGTGCCATTTTTCACACAAAACTAGTCTTATTATCAATAATAATACACGCCTTCAAAACTGTTTTGTTCTTAAAATTCATAAAAGTTACCAGACCTTACTAAATTGCTTTAAATTCCCTTTTCATGTTGAAATAAATATTATTGTTGTAAATGTAGATCCACTTGATCCGACCAACACTTTCTTCTTCTAAATAACGAATTTTTTTATAGTTGAATATTAAATTTGTAAATACCAACGAGACGAAATAATTACAACCTCGATTTCGAAATCCAATTTTTATTAGAAATTTATCCTCATTACAAGTCAGGTCCCGAAACTCCAATACATAGAAAAAATTAGCCAATCTTAAGCCCTATGAATAAGAAAGAAATGCACAAGAGTTTTGGTTAGTTTTGTCAATGCTGGCTGATTCACATAGAACTTTTGCTTTGCTTTGATTCAGGCATATGTTTTGACAGAAAATTTCGATATATATTTTTGTATGAGTACGCTTACATCGAACCGAAACGCAGCAAGTCAAAGTAAAATGATGGCTAACTCTCATAATTTTACGCTTTAGCAAACAAAATTCGCAATTCTTATTAGAGATAAACACTGAAAGCAAAGCGTCCATTCTGGCATACCCTTTGCTTTCTTCGCTTCCTTGTTAAAGTATGAAATGTCGCGAAAAGCGAGGAAAGTTGTTTGTAAATGGGCCATAAGGTCGTACGCCGCATCTCCACAGGCAATGAACGTTGCTAACGATCTGTTAAATACATTGCCATTGAGGTTGACAATGTTCTAATGTGGGCATTTGTTATGAAATATTAATTTTCGAATTGACGTCGGGCAGATATGTTCGTGCTGATATAGCGCATGTTTAAGCTCTTGAACCATTTACAAATTCTATGAGGATGACAAAAATTTATGTTGAATTCTAAAAATGTATATTTTGGAAAAATAAGATTTTATGCTTTAAGACTTTAATAATTGTCGCTTAAAGTTTATTTACCAATTCAATAATTAATTATGATGATTGATATTTACATATGCCAACAATTATTATTAAAATATTAACCATACCATGTATGTACTTAATTACAATTTTTCATCATTTGTTAAAATTTATGTTTTGAATATTACGTTGCTAAATTGCAGTTTAGGCAACAAAACATAAAACATTGGCATTTCGTCTTTGCTGGTATAATGCCACCCCTTATACCATGATGCCACCGAAAATGCATGTACATATTGCGTCTTCAAACTTTGTGTGCAAATAAAAACAGCTCTGTCAAAACACCAAAATGACAGTTCATTGCTAGCAATGTATGGCATGAAATGTATTTAGACATCAATTGCTGAACATAATATCAGGTAGCGCTTTCGGATAGTTACCGTGGAATTTAACCAGTAGTTGGATTGCGGGGGTTTGATAGATAGTGAAATATCGAAAAAGTACGCTGTCTTGGCTCTTGGCCGAACAACGAAATTCTACTCCAGTGGCATCCCTCATAACTGACAAACTTGAAATAGGGATGGAAACATTTTATAAAGAATCGATTCTCGACTTCGTCTTTTACCTTTCGATCCTAAAAATCGATCAGTCGAGCACAAAATCGATTTGTTCGATGTGTAGGGTGAGAAAAAACGTTGTTAATTCAGTTTTCATTTTTTTTACATAGCACATAATACATCTTTTAGGTACACGAGTATCACTTTATACACATATGTATATAACAAAACAAACGGGTCGGCTTTAGTATACCTTCGCAGTCTTTCGGGGATAAATGGGTATGGACGGATAGAGAAGATCCTCCAGATCAAGAATATATAGATATAGTCGCGGGAAACTTATAGTTTTCGAGATATTTACGTTGAAAGTTGACGGTGTTGGATCGACCAGGGTTATTTTTTTGAAGCGCGGCCGAAGGCCGCCTACGCAAAAAGGAGTTCTACGCGAAAAGAAATTGTTACATCCCAGTGTTGGACCGACCAGGGTTCTTTTTTTTGAAGCGCGGCCGAAGGCCGCCAACGCAAAAAGAAGTTTTACAAGAAAAAGTAATATTGTCATAGAGGGTATAACGTAATACTTAACACCAATGCTTTGTAATAGTTTATTTCTCTAGGTTTTGGATTCCTGTATTTGGGCTATTATCTGTTTTAATTTCTTTCAGTTCAATTACAAAAGATGGCGATAAGGTAACACTGGTTATTTGACATTTTGCAACCCTTTTGTTATTGTCAGAATTAATAGAATTTAACAATAATTTAATTATTGAATTAAACTATTTTTGCTTTATATAATGTAAAATAAAGGGTCGGCTTAAGTTTAGCATCCCACGATTTCAGGTTAAGAGGGGTATGGTTGGATAGAGGAGATTCTCCAGATCACGAATATATATAATTATTGCCGCCGGAAACTTATAGTTTTTGAGATATTTGCATTTTAAGCTATATCTATACATATTCTTGATATGGAGGATCTCCTCTATCCGCACATACCCATTTTATCCTCGAAAGCCTGGGACGGTATACTAAAGTTTTCCCAAACAAATATTAGTTATTCTTAGATTTCTTTGGCCAACATTATATTATTTAAAGTACTAAATTATAAACGGTTTCTTAATTTGGTTTTTGTTAAACTTAATTCAGGGAATTTTCACTGAGCAGCGCCTGAATTATGCGGAAGACTAAATACATTATAAACAGAGTCGCACAAATCTCCAAAACCTGCTTGTCCCAACTTACTCCTTCCCAAAAAGAGTTCTATGTTGGAAGAATTCTGGAAGTATCATTTACTCAGCCTCAACATGCGAAATTGATATTCGATTACATTCATTTAGACATTATTTTTAATGGTGTAATAAGTTCCATTAATTTAAAATCTCCTCTATTAAATATAAATCTGATTTCCATTTGTCGTAAAAGATCGACATTATCATAATCATTAAATCTTTTTGAGTACCAATTAGTAATTTCTGATGAGGGAACAAAGAAAACACGTTTGTCATTTAATTGAATTTATTTTAAATCGGCATGAATAAGTCATTAATGCGTAGTTGCCAGAATGTTCTAGAGGCTAAGTTTTATTAAAGATGTACTATATAAGGGCTGACAGATTGTGCAGCACACACAATTCTAGATAGAGTATTGTCGTGTTAAGAGCAATTGAGGCATAAGCAAGAAGTGGTAAGCTCGAATAACGATCAATAAGTGTTAAGTTGTTGGAATTAGAAATAAAGATAAGTGTATAGTCATTAAATTGGGACTTTTATTTAACAATCCAGTATCGAACTCAAGAGTGAGTTTACGAAGTAGACGATTGATCGAGAAATCCGTCACAATATTATATTAGTATTTGAACTTGAAACTCGTCATCTAATCTTAAAATCGAAAGTCAATAATCGGTTCTTGATCGATTTCGGAAGGTAAAGGTTGACTCTGAAAAATTGGTTATTTTATTAGAGAAATCGATTCTCGAATAGAATCTCAATCTAGTTTGCCATCTCTAAATTATAAATTGATGAATATATTTTGGTACATAATCTTGCAATTATTATTTTACCAGTTTCCAATATTTTGCTATTAAATATATACTAAATATAAATAAACTTAAATTATGACATCCCAAATAAACTATCCAACAGTTAGGAAGAGGCCGCCGATTGGCAATGAATCGGATGATGATATGTATACAAATGAAGAACATAGTAATAGTTCAGAATTAGTAAACACAAGCAATGAACTATTATTACAAAAACTTGATAGACCGGAAAGTTACAAGCTACATGATAGAAAAAGCAAAGCCATGGAAAAGCAAAGCTCTAACAACAAATGTATAACAGCCTCGTTAATCATAGTTATTCTATTAGTTGTTGCTATGTGGTATCTATATGCAAGTGACAGGAGTGAAAAGGGATGTTCATTTGAAACGTTGCGACAAAAATATAAAGATCAGCATTCCAAAATGTGGCCTATTCTTTCCAGTGGTGTAGAAAATATTTTAAGAGGCCACACCAAAAATTCAGGTGTATATCTTTTTTTACACAATGATAGCAGTGAATTTAAAAGCATCGTTGGGGAAATTGCGACACAGACATCCCGCTGTTTTGGTAAGTTTTATTTTCTAACCAATAAGAACATACTAATTAAATATGGTCGAATTTAAGGTGGTCAATTAATTGAAATGAGCGAAAATGATTTCACATCGCCGAAAGTAATGGAAGACTATGGGCATGCTATAACAAAGTTTAAAGAAAAAATTCGGAACGGGCGCGTTGCTCTTATCGTTAATTTGAACACCGTAAGATAGTTTATGATAGTTTTAATTATTTGTTAAAAAACATGTTATTTTTAATTTCGGCAGATACCCGCAGGATCAGCTCGCGCTTTACAATTTATATGTGATACACATAATCCGGTGGCTAAAGATATAGTTATTTATCTGACTTTAGTTATACCGTCCACAATTGGTAATGAAATATAATATACCATATATGTTTTTACAGATATAATTTAAATTGGCGTTATTTTTCTAGGAAATGAAGTAAACATTGCACGAGACACTTTAACTAAACTCTGGGGTTCAAAACTAGAGGATTACGAGCTTGAGCCCATAATAACTCGGGTCACGGATCAAGTCATACCATTAAATTAGTTTGATTAACCCATTGAAAAAAAAACATTCGACTTGGCAGGGGCTAAATAACTGACATCCTAATATACATATGTACTTAAATTCCTAATTTTCAGAAGCAAAACATGTATGTACATGAAAGCTAAAAGTATTTATATTTTCACCCAACGTTCTATTAAAATTATCATAATAAAAAAACCATTTAAAAATGTAAGTTTCTAATAAGATTTATTTAGGATTTTACAATTTTTTTTTTCTATTTTTTTCCAAAAACAAATGAATTACATATGTATGTATGCGATTTTATGCTTCCTTTGGACATTTAGTGTATAATTATGATTCAGGAGTATGTAAGAACACTGCGAAAAATGTAAGGTTACGATCTATTGAACCGTTCGAAGATGAAAACTTTTCAAAAATTTATGATAATATCAAATCAATATATTACATTGTTGTATAATTTGCCTCAATGGTTAGGTAAGTAGGTGTTGCTTTAATCTATGGTAAGCGCAATAAAATGTATAACAATATTTTGTAAATAAATGATGAGCACAAATAAAAATGGATAGAATTTAATAAAACGGGCCTTTTCGAAAATTAATATACCAAAAGAATAGCAGAATATCTGTGAAAAAGTCAAAATGGATGAAAAATTTAACTTACTAACTTTGTGCTTGTGTTTAGGAACGTACCTGGAGCACAAGCCGACATACTGACGTTAGTTAAAACTATTTTTTTGCAATATAAAAAGATATGCATATATACATATTGTATTATTTGAGTGCCGAAATGTTTTAAGGAAGAATAATTTAAGATAAAATCAACTTTAAAATTAGGCACACGTTTTATTAAATAAATATTTTATATATATAATATAATAATAATGGACAAATATGACAATCATATGTACATTTTACAGATACTATAAAAAAAAATAATAATAATAAATAGGACCAAAGAGGGATAAAATTTCAACAGTTTTTATCATCAGCCTAATTAGTTCACGCAGAAATATAAAATGTCCGTAAAGACATCTTATGTGTTGTATTACAACTTATGTGCATAGCAAAAATATGTAATAGTATTACATGTGGACTAATAGTTTGCTTTTAGACTTTTTTTTGTTTAGTAGTGTGTAATGCGTTCTTCCACGTATATTTTTCTTTCTAAAACACAAAGTTTATTTGGAATTTTTTTTTTAAATGAGCTGCTTTTTAAGCTCTATTCCTCTCTTCTCGTTATTGTTGTTGATTGATTTCTTGGTTGGTTGTTGTTGGTGTAGAATCGCATTATTGGCACCTAACCGACGGTTTATGCTGTACTTTCGGTTGTGGTATTCTGCACTTCGTGACCAACATCCTACGCGCATTTTATTACATAAGTGGAAATTTGATTGGTTGATTATAGGATAATTGGTAATCGGATGCGGATAGTTGATCAAATAGTTGATATCGAAGGCGTAGGAGGTATTACGGGTAAGACAACGAAATGTAATGGAAAATAAAATAAATATAAATCATAACATAACCATTGATTTTTTTTTATAAATAATTAATGATAGCTGTGATTTTAGTTAAACACTTGATACTCAAATAGGGTTATAAATTAACAAATCTTATACATAAGAAATTAGGGTTAAGAAAATTAAATAAAAACATATGTAAGAACAATAGCAGCAGTAGTAACGCTAATGAATGTTTAATTATTTTACGTAATTAATATTCATATTGAGGTTAACTGGTACAAGAGTATTGATTACGATTTTATGAAACTAAAATTTACAGCTGCAGTTTGGCAGTATTTATTAGTTCATATACTCTTGTAAATTAAAGTTTACCGACTTCTAGTTATTGAACCAAACTCGGTTAACGATAAAATTTTTAATATTATATGAAAGTGCACGTGATATTGTATGTATATAATTAAGTGGTAGGGTCATGACATGATATTACACCACCGATTTCAACATTCTGCCATACTTGACAACTGCATCTTGTTCGCTGTATTTAGTAATTTAGTTTACCTGCTGAGGCTGTTGGTGTTGACCTTCGCCACCAGAGCCTCCTCCAGCGCCGCTGGGTTTCCTGTTTCGTCTTGGACGATTATTGCGCGGAGGTCCTTGTCCACCATTGCCTGTAAAATATACCAGGTAATGTAAATTTGTGTCAGATATACAATGAAGAAGCAGTTGTATTAATTACCGAAATCCTCTGTAAAAACATACTGAATTAATATATTTAATTACAAAATAAATAATTGAAACTTACCATCATCGCGTGGACCACGTCGGCCTCCGCCATTATTGAAATTGCGACGGACGAAACGTCTTTGTGGTCCTCCTCGTCGCGCGGGCAAACCTTGACCATCACCGCCCCTTTGTGTGGAGTCAGCGTTCTGGTCATTGCCACCCTCGATCAATCCACTTTCGCTACCACCTGAACGTCTGCCTTGATTACGTGGATAATAGTTATTAAAACGACGACCACGACCGCCACGACCACCAGGGCCACCGGGTGGACCACCTCCACGACGGTAATTACGCTGCGGACGTTGCTGTTGTTGAACGTCCGATCTAACATCGCTTTCAACCCCTTGTTGAACATTTCCGTCTGGTCCTTGTCCACCTTGAGGCTTGCGGCGGTTGCGGTTATTCCATGGACGATAATTTCTACGTTTGTCAGCGGCGAATTGACTACCACGTACCGGTTCACCAGATGGACCAGTCACGTTGGCGGCTTCATTACCCTTTTCGCCTATGACAACATCAAATTCGACAACTTCACCATCGCCAACTGAGCGCACGGCCTTTTTCGGATTATTTCTCGCAATGGCGCTTTGATGCACAAACACATCTTCTTTGGTGTCATTTCTATTGATGAAACCATAACCGCTCTTTACATTGAACCATTTTACGGTACCAGTTACTTTGGTTGCTAAAAACATACAAATATATTAGATGTTCATACATGCCAAATACAATTACAAATATAAAGAAAGTATTCTTAATTAAACAAATATAGATAAGTTTATTGCGCTGCATCTATTTTTCATAAACCACGTTGTTTGAGCCAAACACAGCTGTGACCGGTTGATAAACGAACAGAACTTTTACGTGCCGGCGACCGCGCACATTGCACCAACAAAATGGCGTCGTGTGTGTATTTAGGTAAAATGTTTCTATTTTCAGCGCCGCTACATGCTCTTAATACTTATATCATTACAAAGTTTATATCTTTTTTTCAGCACAAAGTAATTAGATTTGTCAGATTCAAATAGTCTTTAAAATGTCTAATAGATATTAAGCGCGAGATTAGTATAAATAAAAAAAAAAAAAAAAAATAATAATAATAAGTTGCAATCACGCGCCTCCCATTCCACTTGTAATTCTACACTTTATACATGTCACAACACAAAGAGGAGCAAATATTTTACTAATTACCAATGACTTCTTTTGGTGGCAGCGACTTCAATTGGGCCTGAGCAGCATCACCTTGGTCGACATCCTGTTGGTGTTGTTGCTGCTGCTGCTGCTCAATCGGTAGCTGTTTGTCTGAGTCTGCCATTTTCTAGCTTACAAAAACTTCGTATGTACTTATTTTTCTGTCCTTTAAATTTAGTATACCGATTTCACGAAATCTTGTTAGCTTTTTAAACAATTGGTGTTTTTGTTGACGTTAGGGACTCTTTCAACTACTCTGTTGTTAATTTTGAGTGATGGATGGTAAGAAATCACTCCCAATTCTTTTCTGCTGTATCGCAATGGTGTTCTTTCCAGATCTTATTCGATTGACAAAATGGCATCTTCCGCTGGTTACACAAGCCGCCGACAACATGATCCAATTATATCGATATATGTATATATCGTCTCTTATGCTATCGGTTGGCAACGTTCACAGCGCTTTATTTAACAATAACATGTTTAGTGGTTACATCAAAAGCAACAAAATTCATGTTTTGACATTAGTTGCGGAAATCAGCTTTGTTACTCGTTACCGTTATTGCACCAGCTGTTGTGTTGTAAGCTTCAGGCTTTCCGTTATTTTAAAACTTAAAATTCGAATTATAAATAAATTAGTTAAAGTCGTATTTTATGGAAATTAATTAAATTGTAGAAATAAAAAAAATGTCTTAACGAATACTTGAATTTACTCGTAAAATATTTGTTAGATCACAGTAAAATATGATTTTTTTTAATATGAAAGTACATAATTTATTTTAAAGAAAATTTAAAATTATTCACAACTTTTTACATATATCAGTTTAAGCGCTTAATCAGCAAAATTACCGTGAAACGCACTGCAAAATACGAAGTCATAAAAATTAGTCAACAGTATATTTGTGGTTGTATAATTGGTTAAAAAATATGTGTATATCATCATTAAATAATTATATAGAATTTGTATATTTATTAACAAGCTCCTTATAAGTTAATGTTGGCTTCAGATCTTCACCAATGTTTCCTTTGTCCATAATGTAAATTTGCTTTGATCTCTCGAACGCCTCAATTATACATTTTCTAAAAGTGTAAAATAAATAAAGTTGTTGTGTAATATTTATGTATTTTTCATAATATGAATAATATACCTGAATAGTTTCTGATGCAAAACATAGGCGCTCACATGACCGGCATCGAGATATCGCACTTCTACACCCGGCCATATATCCTCAAGACTGGCGCAACCTTCACGTGGCACATACGCATCATCTTTAGCGCAAACAGCTATTATTAAGGACGTATCGAATGGAACCGAAAAATTTTTCAAATGCGTACATTCGTCCATCATGCCACGCATGAATTGTAAAGCCTCGCGTTCCCACCAATTCGTTTTTGTTATATCTATCTTCTTATTGTCACTGTTTTGAGCCATGGGTAATATGAATCTCATTAGTTTTGTCAATGCCGATTGCTCCTTTTGATCTTCCCTTCGCAGCGTTTTGTTTGACTTTTCGTTATTCACTAAGTGCAAACTACTTTTATTACTAATAACATGTTTCGCCAAGTTTTCTTTGAGAAAAATCGAATTGTTTTCTAACTGATTTTGATTATTTTCAACTTCTATGTAATTATTGCTAATCGCATCAGAAGGCTGCTTTGGAACATGTCTGGTATCACTAATATCATTTTTAAGCGCTTGTAGAGATTGGTTGAAGTTTTTAATAAATTTTTGCCCAGCCGCAAAAGCATCATCTACCACTGTAACCATTTTTGATAGGCGTTCGCTGTATTTACCATCCGAATGGTATTGAGTTTCAAGCATGTCCCAATTGATGGATTGACTCATTACACCCTTAACAATTGCAGCTGTTATATATTTCAACTTAACATAAGCATCAATAAGGTTACAATACATACTGTCGTAAATACAGGTGCAGCAGTAGACCACGAAAGACATGGTACAAGCACAAGGGGCTTAGGCCAATTCGTCGCTGCTAAAGAAGCCATCTAGTAGAAAAATATCAGTAGTGAAAATTTTATAGAAATTAAGATTGTAAAAAATTTACATGTCCTCCCATAGATAACCCGGTTATTCCTAATGGTCCAAGACCATTCCTTTCGCACCAATGTAAAAGTACCAAACATTCTAGTATTAAGCAACCACCCATCACAAATATGTCAGAAACATTTTGTAAATTTGAGCGCCTGCAGAAGAAGCAAAAAATTACATATTAGTACACAAAGAATTTGAAGAAAACATTGTTAAGAAATATTTTTATCTCGATTAAATATTGAACTAACACCCACGCCTAATATGTAGAATAAGTTTATACATGAGTCGGTAGATACATTAACAACGAATTATGTAAATATGTTAATTACACTTGATGATCTGGTTTCCTTAGTCCATAAAAAGGATTTTCTAATATTATAGCTCCAATATTCGCATCCTTAAGTAAAGGTTTGGCAATAAAATTTCGTCTTCGCCAGTAAAACTGCAACAATACAAATAATGTAGTTTTATAAAATTTAAAATTATTTAAAATTCATTTAATTTTTGTAGGAACAAATGATTTTAAATCTGTTTTTTATATGCAAATGAACTTTTAACTATGCTATGTGAAATGTATTTTATAGTATAACAGAATTCGCTATATGCATATCCTCGGTTGTCAATTGATTTATTAATTGGACACAAAACTTTATATAAGCTTACAGATTGTAAATAACCGAAAACTATACATACGTGGTCTCCAGTGCCAGCTAAGTGAATGCACATTGGCTTGAATTTTTCTTCTCTCCATTTTTTGGGCAATATTACTTGAAAATGAGCTTCTTGTGCGGCTTTTGGCACTACACCAGGCAAATGTAGTTCCAAAGGCGAAATAAATTTTCCCTCCAATATGGAGCAATCAGAATATTTATTATTTCTAGTAATTTCTACCGGATAGTCTTGAGGTATTAATTTATAACATGTCTCTCGCCGTGAAATAATTTTACGAAACTCGAATAATCTAAAAATGTAAATAAAACATTAAAAAACTAAATTGATTTTAGTAGCGATATACCTATGAGTTATATTTGTTTCCGTGAAAAAATTATGCAGCCCGTCATCTCAATCCTTGTTTTAGTAGTTAATCATTCAAATTGATAACGATGCAAAACAAAAAGTGTTTCAAGAAATTCGAAAGCATATAAGATGAAATAATCTTATAATGAAGTTACGATAAAACTACAATTCATTGTTGATAAATATGGTAACGAACCTATTTTACAAATGGTAAATTATGCGCACGATTTCGATTATTGAAACATTATTATGTTATTCAATTAAAAGTACATCGGTAAACTATATTTTCCGTGTTTGACATTTAAATAACAATAACAACATAGGTACGAATGTACCCATGCTACTAATCTTATATAAATATAGGCATACCTCTGTAGATTTTCTGGTGTGCCCCATCCTTTTTCAAAAAACCGCGTAATTAGCAAACGACGGTAAATGCTGTCGAGCTTACTCGGTGGCATGTTTTCAATAAAAACCGGTAAAAAATTTTGCAAAAATTTCCGCCAAAAACTTTTTGTAAAACATTATAGAAATTTTAAATAAAATGTACTGAAAATATATAAAATATATAGAAACAAAACGTCACAGAGTGACAATTTGTCAGTTTAAAAGTCTTATCAAATCTCTTAAGCAGCTGTTTTGCTTAACCTTTATAGAATCTAAGGAATATACAAACGATTCATCATACTTTTTTATACATATAAAAGAAAAACTTAAGCGTATATTTATATATAAGAAATTTTGTTGAAAATGTTTATGTATTCGAAGTAGGGTAATAATTGATAAAGTAAAAATCTATAATTAAACGAACCTATGATTGCCAATAAGTTTTTGATGGAAAAATGATGATGATTGAAGTTCATTCAATTATTGTTTGCCTTTGTTAAATGTTTACAAAGGAAAAGAAGAAAAATTGTTTACTTCAGTTGTACCGAAGCAAAAAAGCAGTGGTTTGTATAGCAGCTATGTATATGGTGGTCCGAACTGAAAATTTGTTTGGAGATTCTAGAGTTGCTCTAAAGCATTGTATAAATCTACATATATATATATATATATATATATATATATACAAATATATATAAGCTTATACAATGCTTCAAAGTGGCCATACACGGTATATATATGGGCATGTAAAAACAAACAGTACATAAAAATGCTATTATAATAACTTTATATGAAAATTATAAAAAGTACAATTCAATCATCCGCTTGATTCTGGCACACGTTTACTTATTGAAGGGCGAACGTAAATTAGATCTGTAAGTCGTGTATGGCGAAAACATTTCATACTGATCGAAAACACAAGTGTGTCGTGTATGTTACGGCTACTTTTAGACAATAATCCATGCCAAATTACTTGAAAATATCTTGTCAAATTAAAAAGTTTTCTATACAACTACTTATATTTGATCGATAAGTTTGTATGACAGATGTATGTTATAGTGGTTCAATTTGTACAATTTGTTCCGAGACTATATTGTTGTCCTGGACAATAATTTATGCCGAATTCATGAAGATATATTTTCAAATAAAAGAGTTTCTCATACAAGGATTTGATTTTACCGGTTATAGTTATAGTTATAGTGATCTAATTTCAGCAGTTCCGACAAATGAGCAGCATAGGAGATTATGCTTGGGGAGCAAAGTACGTGTGCAAAATTTCTGATCGAAATCTTAAAAACTGAGGCACTAGTTTGTGTGTATACAGGCAGAGAGGCGAATACACGGACATAGCTATATGGACTCACCTCGTCACGCTGATCACTACATATAAATTTTATAGGGTCTCCGTCGTTTTCTTCTGGGTGTTACTCTGTTCCTGTTCAGAGTATAATTAAGGAAATTTATTATAAAGCACTGTGAAATAAATAAAAAGATCAAAGTTCTTTCATTCTCTTCCCCCTCGTCTTGTTAATAAAAACGCATTTTTAGTACCTCCAACTACATACACATACACATATTTTCATATTTAACGGAAATTTCAATGATAAATGTTTAACTTCGTCATCGAATTCACCCAGCTTCTTATCAGCATAAAAGATGTCTTTATATTATGGAATCACAAACTCATATCTTTTTCTTAACAATCACTATCAATACGCGCAAAACATTACCAAGAACATGCAATCATCGATAAATTTTGATTTCAATGTGCGAATAATGCGAATAATTTTGATACTAAACAACAGTTACGTTGAATTCTCTCACAGAAGTGAATGCTAGCCGCATAGTTTGAAAAAATGTTACCAATACTGCTTTTAATTAGCAATCTGCTTACACACACCTCCGCTCAAATACGCATTGTTAACGGAAAAGAAGGACGCATCGAAGATTTTCCATATCAAGTAACTATTACTTTTAATATTTTCTACTTTCTTTCAAAATTCAGTATCTGTATATACATACGTGCATACATATGTATATATTTAGGTTTCATTGCGCCGTTATTCAATTCATGTTTGTGGCGGTTCGATCATAGATGCACAGTGGGTAGTTACGGCCGCTCATTGCATAGAAGCTTTTGAGAAGCAATCGAGAGTATACTCTTTACGCATCGGTAGCACAAATCGGGACAAAGGCGGGGAAGTTGTGTCGATATTGAAGATATATAAACATCCTTTGTACAATAGTGAAACAATGAGCTATGATGTGGCCCTGCTACGAACACAAAAAAATCGTCTGCGTGGCAAATTTGTACATCCCATCAAATTACCTTCGCAAAATACACCGATTGTGGATAACAAGGAAGCGGTCGTTAGTGGTTGGGGACATATGAGCTCATCGGAACATGTTTTGTCGGAGCTCTTAAAGTATACCACCGTTAAAATAGTAAATCAACAGAAATGTTCCGAATTAATGAAAACACAAGGGATCGTCACCGAAGCGTGAGTAGTGTAAATAATACGTTTTTTTAGTATTTTTTAATAATTTACAAATTTTAACCGTTAAAAAAATGTATAAACATAGCCTTGACTTGTCTGTTAATATTATATGTATTATATATTGGCATAACAAAGAATATGACAGTCCAAACAATGTATTGTGTATTCTTTTTATATTTTGAGGTAATGAAATATCTGAAAAGAAAAATCAAAAAAGATTTTTCATAAAATATGTGAATAAAGAGATTTAAATTATATATGTATGATTTTTGCTATGTATTTTTAAATTTTTTCTACACAAAGCTTTATTTTATTAAAAATATGATCAATGCGTGTTTCTTTTAAGAATGTTCTGTGCTGCAGCTAGAAACACGGATGCATGTCAAGGGGATAGCGGTGGTCCAATACAAAGTGGTAATATATTGATCGGAGTAGTAAGTTGGGGAGTGGGTTGCGCAGATCCCCACTACCCAGGCATTTATACACGTTTGTCTTATTCTGCTGTACGCATTTGGATCAAACTGATGACTTCATTATGAGTGTATAAAAGTCAAAATAAAACTATTTAACAATAAAGATTATTAGCATATTTCGGCATGAAACTTACATAAATTGTAATTATAAGTTTTCTAATTAATTATTGAAAAATATCATACACATTTTGAAAGCTTTTTTTTACAACTTCTGGCTTTAACTATACTGTAATGAAAGTGGACTGTGCTGATGCGCGAAATGGAAAATATATTAATTAATTTGGCATGATAATTTTATCGGTTTTTAATAAAAATGTATTATGTTATTAAGTGATACACCAGAACTTTACTGACAGATGGCTGCTAACCAGACATTGGGAAAACGTGTCTTAATATTTTATTAATGATTTTAAAATTAAATTTTTATTAAAGTAAGGTAAATATAAACGAAGAGGATTTTTTTTAAATTGTACTGTATTTTATGGTTAATGCGCGACAACTCCAAGTATAATGTTTTTCAACGTTGTGACGTAGTATTTAATCTCACTATACAAATTGTGAAATATAATCTAAATTAATATTTAAACAAATTTCTCGTGTTAAATTTTTCTTTTTTTAAATAATTTTTCCTGTATAATGAAGCACCCTGTACCAGAGAACGTAGATTCATATAAACAGAGAACGTGTATATGATATACGTTCTCTGATATAAATCTAAGTTCTATGGCTGTACCCAAATAGACTTTCCCCACAACCTCCTCAAGGATTTTATTTGACAGTTTAATATTTACATGTTTATTGCATAGATAAAATTTATTGACTGTTTTGGTTGATATTGGTTATGGCTGAACAACATAAGTAAGTATTTTTTAAATAAATAAAGCATTATATGCATATCTTTGTGTACTAGTTTTACTATTGTTAAACGAATAAATGACAACAAAACATGCTTACTTACCTTCGTTATTATGTACTAAGATACAGAACTTTGCACATGAGAATTATTATAGTTTTTCCTGTGTATCCTTCCCAATTGGCACAATAAGTGATTTAGATTTAAGCCAGGAGAATATATGACTGAATACTATCGATCAGTTTAGTGACCAATATATTGCTCGGTGAAAATTGTACATTCTAAATATAGTTTATAGAGATGTGCAAAATACCTTATTTAAGCGAATGATACTAGTTTAATAGTATTAATTTTAATAATTACATATATGTATATTTTCAATGATATATTTTTATCACAGGTTGATATATCCCGTTAAACATTTTCGCGATTTTCTCGAAAATGAAATACGTTTGGATGGCCGAACTTTTGATAAGTATCGGCCGATCGGTGTAAACATTGAATCTTTTCAACACTCTTTGGGGTCAAGTGCAACGAAAATTGGAAATTCGAACATTTTATGTGGAATACGGGCAGAGTTATCCAAACCACGAGCGTCCGCACCACATGCCGGTTATATTGTACCCAATGTTGACATGTCATTCACATCATGTTCAAAAGCTTCCTCATCGACAAATAATCAAAATGTGGCCGAAATATTGGACTGCTTTATATATCAAATTTTAAATGAGTCACATTGTTTGAATTTGGAGGATTTATGCATACATCCAGGAAAGTTGGTGTGGTGCCTTTATATAGATATAATTGGTTTGGAAGTGGATGGTGGTGTATTTGATGCTTCAATTTTAGCTTGTGCCTCAGCCCTTAGCACTCTAAAATTGCCCAAAGTTACATACGATGAGAAAAGTGGTAAAATAGAGATAGGCGATGATATGAAGGAGCTACATTTAAATATTTTTCCTGTTGTCAGCACCTACAGCATATTTGACAAGTAAGAATTTGGCTAAAATATTTTTATACAAGAAATTATTAAACAAATCATTTTCAGTGTTCTACTTGTGGATCCTACATATCGCGAAGAAAGTATTTCAAGTGCGGTGTTTCATCTCGGTGTACACGAAGATACAGTTGGACTTTTTCATAAAAGTGGCGGAGTACCGATCTCAGTAAAAGAAATACAGCAATCGGTTAAAAATGCTGTACAGAGAGAAAAAGAGATTACAAGCCTGCTAAATAGTTTGAAAACAAATCAATAAAACACACACAAAATTAGTAATATCTTAATGTGATAGTTTAATTTCTATTGACAACTTCAGGTTTAATTAACATTTAATAACTTCAAATTTTTATTTAACATAAATTGCCAATTTGGAACGTTTATTTATTCGAAGGAACATTTACATACATAATTCAACTTGCCGAAATTGTGAAAACCTCCATTCTATTAAGATTTATTTTAATTTTATTTTACTTGTTTAAGAAGTATTTGTACATAAAAGCATATGTAATTAAACATTTTAGCTAGATACATAGGCAAACAATATATGTATTTATATGAATATCTATATATTAAGCAGATTTCCTTCATATTATAACATATGCTCAACAACTATTCTAGGTCATCAATCATAACTGAAGACTGGGGGCCATCTAGTCCAAGCGGAATATCAGCTCCTCCAATAGAATTAGCTGCAACAATTTTGGGTGTATCGTTCTCTGCACTTGCACGGTTACCAAACTCTTGCATTTTAAGAATTAGCATAGCAAATACTTGTGCTGGCAACGATGTTTGCAAAACTTGGAGAAGACGAGCTGGTTGTCCACATACAACTATAGCATTAGCAAGGTGCTCTACACCACTTTCAAATTCACCACGAGCAATTAATGTTTCGCCCAACTGAATTTCCTGAAGGAAATACCTGCAAATAATTTTTTTTTTAAACAAAGTATGGGAAAGTCAAAACAAATAATCGTATGTATGTATATATGTATAATACATTCTTATAACAATGACGCATTGCTGCAGGCGTTTCACACCCTGTATAGAGTGTCTAATGTGTTATGAACTCTTGCTTAGAACTATTGCAATCATTTGAAAAAAGCACGTTGCTAAATTACATAAGGTATAAATAAGGCTTGATAGTTACCTTTCAATTGCTTCATGGTCATTGAGGTTTGGTATTCCACTGCGGCCAGCATTTCCATTTTTGCGGGTACGACGTCTGCCTAAAATATATTGTTGTAATTGTATATATTTACACAAACTTCACGTTGTCTTAAATGCCAAGTACTTACGCTCGCGGACTTTCTTCTTGTAATCAGGATCAGTGCGCCGTTTACTGTCGAAATAAATGCAATATCCAATGAAAATTGTGCCCGCAACACCCGCTGCTATACCTATCGCCGTTTTATTGATCGCATTCATATTTAAATACTTTGAAACTTAAATATAAGCGAAAATATTTTCCCCAGATATGAATGAAAAAAATTTGACTTCACCCAACTTACTCCGACCAGAGAACGGGCAGAGTGAATGATATGAGAATGAATAAATGAAACACAGCATGCCGTAATTAAAAAGTATTAAATAAAGCAAAATACAATCGTCATGTAACAGGGTGCGTAACAGAAAATATAAAGAACCCTATACCAGAGAATGTAAATGAGTAGAGAAGGAGCAAATGTTAAATGAAAACTTTTTGAGTACTAATTTCAGAGAATGTAAATGAATAGAGAAGGGGCAAATGTTAAGAAGTACTAATTGCAGAGAACGTAAATGAATAGAGAAGGAGCAAATGTTAGCTGTTCTAAAATGTTAATTACGATGAAGGAACATCGAAAACGCGCAAGTTCGAAAATAAAATTTCACCACACCTGTCAATTTACGCAACGAACTACACCACTCTATAAGCAAAATGTATATACATACATATGCAGAGATGTTCTTTGATATGCGCATAAACAAAAATTGAAATAATAAAAACGAAAGAAATTGACTTCTGACAGGAAAATTTAATAATCAGGGAAATAATATTAAAATAGAATTCAAATATCAATTCATAAAAAAGGGTTATAAAAATAAAAAAGGACTATATAATATATGATTGGATTTGAACTTAGGCAAAATATTTCACGTTGCAATAAAGAAGTCTGCTATACAAGCAGCACCACAGACAATATTCATGCTTCTTTGTCTAATCTGTGAACTCAAACGGCTATTGTTGTTTACTTGCTTCAATGTTCATATGTCTATATGTGAATATTCTTGAAATTGCCTTCGTTCATTCGCATATCCAAATATATTTGCATATATGTACGCATATGTACATATGTATGTCCATCAATATGTCTTTCGCAAAAAATCAAACATTCGGGCAAGTGACAAAAAAAACGGAGACGCACCATCATCGGCCAATAATATTCAAGCGAACTCGCGGCATATTTTCTAAGTATTTTATATTACAACGACAACAAATTCATTCATAAGGAACGTGCGTCTGCTTCAAAGCAAAGTGCGCTCGTTCATAACTCTGCGCCGCGCTATATTTTCTGTGCGCCTGGTAAACCACATTTGGTTTTCATATAGAATTCCTATCGCAAATGCGCCGCGATATGAATGAAATTGAATTTGAATGTCTTCAGTAAAATTGAAGAATCAGCAAAATTTCAATTTTACAATTTGTATCACTGAAAATCCTACCATCCCCCTCGCGTTTGTATGTTGCCCACAAGCTGCTTCCTCACAACATTTGCTAAAAATCAGAAATTGAAGAATTTGTCTGATGTTCACTTCAAAAAGGAGAATTGGCAACATGACCTCTTAGCGAGTTTAAATAATATTTATATTTTTGCATATTATGCACTATTTATGGCATTAAATTACAAAATTTATATTAAATTGCCATTCATATGAAATCATTAACTACTTCTATATATTCTAAGCACAGTCCATATAGTACTTTTATATGTTTACTTATTATCATTATTTCATAGTTTGTCGATTTAGCCCATTTTATCTAAAAACGACGTTATGAAAATGCAGACCAATCGTTAATCGTAGCATTTCAAAAGAGCATAAGTCAATTTTCAACAGCAAAGCCCTGCAAAAAGGACAAACGAGACAACATAGCCGATCGACATTGTCGTAAAATTGTCGATTGAAACAAATTTTGTCAACTCCGCCACGATGCGCAAAATTCGGCGTCAATATGTATGCGAGCTCATATGTATATATGTATGTTTGTCGACAAAATCGTCATTTGGTTACTTTCAACAACACAATGTCTGCGCGAACTCGCCGTTATTTCGTTGGCTTGCCACTATACACAGAGGCGTTCTAACTGAGGACTCTTAGTATATTATTATGTTGCTTAATTTGTATTGAAAAATACTGATGCATTTATGAATTATTTTCGTAATATAATATATATTATATATATATATAAATACCCATTAATTCATACCTATAATCGTTTTTAAACTAAATTCGATATACTTATAAAATATATATTATATCTGAAATAATTATGTGGCAGTGCGCCCCAATCCCTTCTTGCCTGTGATCGTTCAACTTGCTTCTCGCAAAAAGCAAAAAGTGTAGACAAAAGTCATTGCTTGTGTGATTATCACATTTGTGTAAATACGCATAAATAAGGGAATATGCAATAAACCAAACATATTATATTTTCCTGATATATTTTAATTATCTCAGGAAGTAAAATATGCTATTAAAGAAATTGAATTATGATATGCTTAGACTCCAATTAATAAAATAAAAAAATTAAATAAAACTCGTTTTAGGATTCGAACGTATAGGCTCGTATTCGGATTGTGCTTAACCCCTTCCCGCTTACGACCTAAGCCACCACAAAAGTGGAAATGTGGCCGCTTAGCCACCGTTTTATTATTATCATTTGTTTAATAAGTATATTGCTTACGCAACGCACATACATAAGTTAGAAAACTAGCTTATTAAATGTTTATTTTATTATGAATTCTGGGGTTTTTACCGGTAATACAGATTTTTAATTCAGAAGGCTTTTCATAATTATAAATTTGTCATATCATAGAAATTGAAAACATAAATCTAAATAGGTATGCGCAACGATTTTTCATATAGGAATATTCGTTGTGTCTATTTATAGCATTTCGCACATTGTGTAGTGTATTTTTCTTTTTCGAAGTTATATTTTTCGATGTTCCTTCATGTGGAATTACAAATTAGTACTCAAAAAGATTTCATTTAACATTTGCTCCTTCTCTACTCTTCAACATTCTCTGATTACACCACGTCAAAAAGGTACCTTCCCCTCATAATAATCGAACTCAACAAGCTACACCACTCTAAGCAGGAACCAAGTAAATTTTCACTACCTTATAAAGGAACGGCTAATATATGTATGCGCAGATATGCCTTGTCAAGCGTGTTAAGGAAAATTAGAATAACAAAAAGAAGTAATAGATTTTGAAGAACATTTATACAAAGAAGGAAAAATTAAAATTAATATAAAATAAATTTAATACAAAAGGCTTATAAAAATTAAAAAAGACATACCACAACATCTGTGATAGGATTTGAACTCAGGCAAAATATTTGATGTAAATTTGCAATAAGGAGCTGTGCTATACAAGCAGATTAGATTTGTTCATGCAACGCACAAAAACGTGTTGAAGAACTTATCTATTAATTACCTATTTTGTTGTAAATTTTGGGGCTTTGCCCAATAATCCTCTTATATAATTTGTAGGATTGTTTTATATTACAAAAACTATAATTTTTTTGTAATATGCAAATGTAAATTAGCATGTGCATAATTCATTTAAGAACATTCTTTGTGTCTATTTATAGATTTTTCCCTGTTTCGGTCATTGCTTGGTGTATTTCAAAAGAGTCGAAGTTGTATTTTTTGATGTTCCCTCCTCTGAAAAGCTCAAATTAGTACATTTTAACATTTGCGCCTTTTCTATTTATTAACATTCTCTGATTATTCTTTTCTATACATCAAGTAAAACTAAAGTTGGTATAAATTCTTTGATAAATCTTATAATAGAATCAGCTTCATTTGTAGGAAAGCTTAAAGGTCATTTTGGTATAAAGCCCTTTCTTTTCTATATAGCATATTTAATTAGATCGACTAGACAAAAATCTGCGCTATAATTAACTTCGTATATGGGAACAGTTTTTAACTGGAAATACATTATTATATTATTTTATCCATTTATGGCATTTCTCCTATAAAAATCATTATATTGAAATTTCTGATGTACCAATTTCATAGAGATTCCGTTATATAAATTCATTGGTAAATAAAAATGAAGACTATATATATATATACAATATTACATTATATACATATATAAGAAAATTATGGGATAAGCTATGTATTTTGGTCTTAATATTTTAATATAACAAATCATAGCTCAAATGTAGATGGCGCTCTCTTAAACAGAGGTGATTACAATATAAAATCAATTTTATAGTTGTAAGGTATTTTTTATAGTTATAAGGTATAACACAAATATAAATATGTATTAGCATTTTAAAGTATGTACATAAGTACCTATATTTAATATTGGTATAGTTTTATTTATTATTTTTTTTATTTTTTAAACCATAGTGGTTTTTGTTGTAATTGAAGTTTCCTGACCTGAAGCTCTCTGGCATTGACGAGAAATTCGTGTATAATCACCATGCGCCATCATGACTTCATAGTGTATGAATGAGGCATCAAAAACAAAATAAAATCTATATAGCGGAAGACATTACTGGTGCAATTTTGTTTTCGTAATTCTTGGTGACATTTGCCACAGCTTAAACCGAAAAGGTAAGTGTGTATTTACATTGGGACTCTTTTGTAACACAAACCGGTTATTTGTGGGCGAGGGGACGACGAGGAAAGACGAAGGGATCGTGCCACTCTCACTTTGTGTTCTTGTTCGTAACAGCTCGCTGCTACCTTTTTCAGCATTGCTTTTCACTTTAAAATTCTCTTAATGGTTGCAAGAGCGCTGGGTTTCAAATGCATATATACCATTTGTTCAGAAATTTGAATTCTGTTATCTATTTTATGTATGTAATATGCAATTTTAAATAAGGAGAAAATTAAGATACTCAAAAATATTTAATTTAAATTTTTAATAGCTTATAGCGGTATTAAATGTAATAATATACGAGTATACATAAAAAGGTATTCAATACATTCTGGTGGATTAGAGAATTCCCAACTTAAGTATTTCTTTGAAACTATTAAGCGGGTATTATGCATATTGTTCTACCGTATGCATGGTAATTCCCTGCAAGCAAAATGTGAGACCTTACCATACAACTGAAATATGCAACACACTCTAAGTGTTGCGTTGCCAAAACGCACAAATATTTGCGAAAATTTTATGAAAAGGAATGACTCTTTTTGCTCGTGTGATTGAACAGAGCGACACCAAAAGAGAATTTGCCGATAATGAGGGTCAAAAGAGTCCCAATATAAACTCAGTATAACGGTACAAACTTGGTGTAATCTCTATCTCTATCATTCTTGATAGTGACTGTTATGACGTAAAGTTGTAA